CACACACACACACACACACACACATGCATACAGGACATAGGAAGATATTAAGTTTTTAGTGAATCTACCATAAGAAAACCATAAGAAAAACTAAACCAATGTTCAAACACATATAGTCTATTCAAAGATTGAGTATCATGTGTTGGTATGACTGATATACTATATATATAATACATATTCTAAATAGCACAAATCCTTCATCACACAAATTTGAAAACATACTAAAGAAAATCTAATTATTACACTATTGCAATAAGAACAGAAAAAACAAACACAAACTAAAACCTGACCCCCCCACCCCCTTGTCCGTTTCTATTTGGGAGAGCCAGAGGTGAACTGTCACACACTGTGACATGATAGATAATAGAAAACCGTTTTGCGGCGCAGATGATTTTTTTTTTCTAAGTGCTCGTGCCGCCCCCCACGTGACATGAAAAAATGCCGCCCGGTTCGCCCGTGCCTATAACCGCCACTGTATGCAGGGACAGTTATGGTTAAGCTTGGAGTAGTCTCTGACTAAAGCCCTTGAATATGTGTGTGCGTGTGTGTGCATGTGTGTAGGTGTGTATGTGTGAGAGAGAGAGATTAGTGCCTCTAGGCGGCACTGTGTAATAGCTACATCTCTCTCTCCCTTCTTCATTTCTGTGTCTCTCTCCCACTCTTCTTGCACACTTGCACACAAACACACAGACACACACACACAACTCTATCAACAGTCACAGAGAATTCCCTCTTTCTCGCACCAGCTCTTAGTTACCATGGAAACCAATAAAAGAGTGGTTTGAGATGGGAGGTGTATGCGTGCATGTGTGAGAGAGAGAGCAAGGAGAGGGGGGGAGTCAGTGAGAAATGTTGAGGGAAAAATATAAAGTAAATCAGACACAGACAGAGGATGTGGGAGGACGGTGAAATGAGAGAGAGAGAAAGGATGAAAAACAGGACGAGAGGGAGGGCAATGAGATGCAGATATGGAGAAAATGAGAGAGGAGGAGGAGAAGAATAGAGGGAAGTGAGTGTGTACTTGGGGTGGGGGGAGAGTGGGGGGCTGAAAGTGAAGACGAGAGGAGACAGTGGGAGTGTAAGTGGAGATGTATTATTTAAAGAGGTCTCACCCTGTCTAATGAGTTTGGTCTAAAAGCCCCAGGAGCTGCCCAAAGACAGACAGACAGACAGAGACTAACTTCTCCTAACTATGTGGTGAGAAAATTCAATGTACAATATGAGCCAAGGGAGGAAAAGAGCAAGATTACTGGCTAGGACTGGATTTAGTTTAATCGTTCCGCTTTGATTATGTGAATAGTCCAATAGTGTAGGTGAGGATGATCTCTGTAGATCGATCCATGTAACTGGGACAAAGCACAAGGCCAGAACCCAAATTCAAGAGTCCTGCTGTGAGAGACCAGAGCAAACAAGCGATCCACTGGAGAGGAGGGCTAATAGAGCTTTACATAGATCAATAAAGAACATCTTTAACACTGTGCATCATTCAGTCACTAAATCTGTGGGGATATATCAGCCTGTCATATGTCGATAATAAATGTTCACTATCTCTATGATATGAATGGATATTACACTGATAAGGTATCCAGTGTGACTGTGACATACTCAAAACGTCACTATGGTAAAAGTAGTATTAATGTGTAATGGTGCATGTAGTCAAATTTTAAATTAAAAGGTATTATTTATTTAATCACAGTAACAACCTGAAGGAAACAGACCCAATACAAGTTTATGTTTATGGGCTGTTTATGGCCCATTAGACCATTCATAAAAACACAAAAGTGAGCTCAAAAACATTTCATTTTGTTTGTAAAGTAAATATACCATATTACATGTTCGGATGGGTCCCTACGGGCTATTTGCCTGTCAGGTCTAACTACTAGAACCTGGAAAAGTAAAATTGCTCCAAAGTTTTATTCTGACTCATGAACACATCTTTGGTGGATTATGAATATAGCAGAAGATATGGAATAAATACTGATGGACATATCAAGAAATATCTTTTCTCTCTGTCCTGTGATGAAACAACTGATACAACTAATATTATACAACTAGTGATTTTTGTGCGTAGAATTAGGAATTAGTCTCCTTGCATTGCAACACCATAGGCAAAGATTTGTTTGAGTAAGTTGTTTCAGTGGAAACCAGCTGTGAGTGCTACCATCATCATCACTACCTTCTGACATCAGACACATATGACAAACTTGACAGTTGATTGATTAAATTTTGGCCGACTAACTTGAAATAGTACTCTTGAAGATGTGTTTAAGTACACTAATCATCAAAATAATATGTTAATGCATTCAAGACACAAGGTAACTTAGCGTTCTTGTCTTTTACCCTAACAAGTGACAGAGTTGAGTTGATACAATTCAATTTTTTGTTCTGAACTACTGATACAATAATAATCTTTGTTTTGAACAGGTGACAAAGAAGTGCAGCAGAGAACCCTCTAGATTTAAGGTCTGTTTAGTAAGTTTGTAAGTGGTGGTACGGTCTTGAAATAACAAAGTGGATGAAAGTGAGCATGAGATAAGATGACTTGATAAGCTTTCTCTCCACTTGCTGTCTGCTATTAGTTGCTCTTCTCAAACAGCTATTCTGAGTGCAATTATCTCATCTTTATGCTCTCCCACCCTCCAGCTCCCAGCTCCCCATCTCCACTGTCTCTCAAACATTATTAAACACAACTTTCACCGGAGCCTTTGTCAAATTGCTAAGAGGTAAAAGTAAGTGTGTGTTGTCCACGTGTGTGTGTGTGTGTGTTTTGAGCTCATTTTAAAATTCCTCCCTTGTCCTGCTGCCTTGCTCCGTTGAATATTGAAATGTTTCACTCACATGGCACCAGGTCAGGTCTCTGTCACTTTATCACACACACACACATACACCTGCAAAAAACTCACCCTACACAACTACAGTAACACACTGATTTACATTTATTTCCAGGAGGCTCACTCTAACCCTAACCATAATTACTCCCTCGAGGCTTAGGTGGTAAGATGGTGGGGGGTTGGGTGTGGCAATCTGTCACAGACATCAGTGAGAAAAATAGAGAAACTAATGTGCTCACTGATGAGGTGAGGGATCACAATGTTTGCTTTAGAAAATCCATCTGGTAAAACAAGACTTACATGAATGGATATGAGCTGAAATGTTCTCATCCTGCCATAAACATCTGACACTGTAACAGCTCACTCTGTCCACCAGTCACCTGACTCAATTACTGTCGTGATTCAATTCCTCTCACATGACGATTTTCTTTGATGTTCAACATTTTGTCAGACTTGAGTATCTTTGAGCTCTTCCTCTGTGACAGATGTCTCCTCTGTTTCTTGGCTCTCTGACAGATTCTCTCTCTGGTTAATTTCTACAGTTAAGACGCTGGGAAACACCAATAACTCGTTTTCCCTCGTCATGAATTCATTTCTGCTGCGACAGCAGAACAAACTCCTACAGGTCAAACTGGACGAACACTTTCAAAACTAAGATTGACTGACTTGAAAACACTAAACATAACCGAGAACAGTAAAACTACAAACAACCCATAATGCAACCTGTTTTTTTCTCCATTCATTCAGTTTGGGCGTTTTCTTATAATGTCAGAGAAAACACTTTAGCCCAAACCCTTATCCTGACCTTAAAACCATGATTTATGTCATAGTGACTGGCTCTTTGTCCACATAAGAAAGACAAATTCCCATAATGTGACTGTGTCGAGACATTTGGTCCCCACAACATTACAGTAACCTGGACATCACGCACACACACTCACATTGAATAGCACATATGCCCTGATTGGCAGTTTGGCAGGTTCCACCTCTTTAGTTCTCTGAGCTGTCAATCAAAATGAATAGACAGTCTAGCCACACACACACACACACACGCACGCGCACACACACACACACACACACACACACACACACACACACAAATCTTTTCACACAATTTAAACAAGGTTTTTGCATAACAGTCATCATAGTTATACATGGTATTATCATTGAAATGCAGTTGTGGCATCCAAAGATGTCGAATTTGGCTTATAAAGTTTAAGAATATTTTGAAACACTTTGTGTAATTTCCCTCATGAGTAAATGTCTGACAGCACAGAGGTTGATAAAACACAGTAAAAGTGAGGACAGCACATTTAAATAATATGAATCTTGACCATTTAGTTTCCTGGTTTGCATAGATATTCACTTTAAAGAGCACTATTGTAGTCTTACTTTTAACATGCAGGCAGGTGGTTTTCTTACAGTCATAATACTATATACTCATAATAGTGTAGTTCAGTGTCCTATTGACCAACCATTGCTTTTTGTGTTTGTTCTTGATGCGTCTCTCCTACCTTTACATGATGGCAGAGCTCTGTCCCACACTGGCTTCCCATCATGCCCCATGACACAAGTGATGGTATCCCCGCCCACGGTTGTGTAACCATGGTGACAGTTGTAGGACACCTGAGATCCCAGTTTGTAGTCGTAACCTGTCCGACTGGCGTTCATAATATTGCCAGGGTCAAAACAGGCTTCTCTTGGTTTCTCTGTTGGAGAATGGAGAGGTTTTGTGTTATTAGAAATACACAAAGTCGAACTCTGTATTTATTTCTCATTATGTATTCACCTGGTAAGTAAATTAAATGTAATTTCAGTGCCATACACGAAACCAGAGCCTCTTGTGTGGTGCAGAAAAAAAGCAATGTACCAATTTGCTCTCCATATGCTGAATGACTTATTCATATCATTTTCAGTGGTATAATTATTAATAACAGCAACAGATATCCAACACATACCCTCTTTCATGCATCTCAATCAAAATAGAGATGCATAATAAGATTTAGGGCCACTATTTGTCAACTAAAATTAGGCTATATTCTACAAACAGTCTTGGGCTGTTTGCCGAGCTTGTTTGCTTTTCTGTGATAGCCCAATAAGAATGAGATATTGGGCTTGACGGAGGGAAACTGATAGACAAGGAGAGAGAGTGAGGTGGAGGGCAAGATGGAAGCAAAACAGGGAGATGATTAAGGTTGGATTTTTAATTAGAGAGATGGCAGATGAAAGGTAATGAATTAATGACAAAAGTACAGAGGTGTAAGGTAGTGCGAGGAGACAGACAACAGAGAGGCAGATAATCTTTTTTTAATTAGAGATAAATGGACTGAGGGAAACGGGAGAAAAATCTGTTTACATAACTTGACAGAGCAAATCTAGTCTCTGGTTACTCAGACAAGTAATCATCAGCTCCACACTGAGTCAAGCAACGTCTCCTAAATCAGGATGAGCCCTTTCAACTGAGACAGACTTCTTCAGTAAGTATCAGGTTATCAGGTTAATAGAGCTTCAATCCAGTCTGGAGGTTACAGACACTCCTCTATCTACATTTCAATCACAACACTGTAAACAATGAACATAGTGACAAAGATTTTGTGTTTTGTTTTGGTGCACACAGCAGCCATTCTCAGTCCTTATTACACACATGGCCAGATAAACTAAGCTGCAACCTGCATGTATTCAGCAGCTAATTTACTAAGATAGCAGCTCATTACACAGCCAGCTTTTGGACTGAACATGGTTCTGCCTCCAAGATAAATTACACCTTTGCAATTAGTAATGAAATAATGATGCCGTTATCCTGATTTACCTTGGCTGTTACTCAAAATATCACTCATATAACTATCACATAATCCTTAGCATGTAGCCAATTATTGATTCATAAAGCGGCAACAAAGCATTCATTGGAAAATAACATTTCAATGAAGTGATATCTTAAGTTAAACACTGAGTTAAAACTCTCACTTTAAATGCATCACCATTTAGCATTAATTAAAAGAAAAGCTCACTTGCAGCCTGTGGTGATTTTACAGTTCACTGATAGTCAAGTTTTATAAGCACAGACCAAAATTACCCGTCCACTATTAATTGGTGTAACAGTAATCAGATATTGTGCTCATTAACAATAGCCTAATTGCTTCATCTTTGTTTCTGATTGATTTTCAGTTAGATACAAGTTTATGTTTCTCTCCCCCACCATAACGATCCTTGCTGCTCTCGTAAATCCGTTTTGAGTTACTGAGGAAATTGCACAACCTTAGCAGATCCAGCGGAATGCATAATCAACCTCTGTCAACATGTCTCTTCCTATTATTGCTGTGATCCTCCCTTAAATGCAAATGAAATGAGGAGAGAGACACACCTTGTAAACACTTGCTAAAATGATCTGTCTGAGCCAGATTGTTTACCATCTGTATTTAAAAAAATACTGGCTCAAAAGCATTAGTAAATCTGGCCTGGTCTTTATATACAGTCTATGGTTGTATAGCACTGATTTGTTCGAGTAATCATCAGACAATGTGTCAAGATGGATTTTGACACTGACATTGTTATGCTATGCTTATACTATCATAACGAATCGAGAGCCTTTATATAAGAGTGTTTGAAACAGTTTGGTCATTATCAACGAAGAATTCCAGTGCTTTTAATAAGACCTTGCTGGAAATGTATGAAGACGTTATGTTAAGCTGAGTTTTTTGGGTTTAATTACCTCTGTATTCAATGGCGAACCCAGACATGCCCAGTGAGGCATCAGATCTGAATGCCAGGAAGAGACTGTTACTGCTGCTCTCTATTCGCTCCGGGGCCTGGTTGCCTTGGAGACTTGCTAGTAACGGCCCATTAGAGTCTTCACCCTCGTAGATGTGCAGGAAGTCGTAACTTGGCTCCATGTTGAAACTAAAATAAAAACAAAGAAGGTTAGACTTGAGAATCAAGGAAAATTGATTGCATTTTTAATGTGTGTGTGTGTGTGAGTTAAAATTCAAAAACAATTAATCCAGTGATATGTGTTAAATTCAAATATCTTTCTCATTTGATGACTGGTTTGTGCTATCTCTCCATTAATCATCTTCTAATCTTCATTTGACATGTTTTGACATTTTTGGGATGTGTTTACTGCAGTAGAAAAATAACATTAAAACATGTTCTTTTCTTCCTTATGAAATTAATACAGCAAATACTTGTCAAAACTACTTTTTGGGACAGTTTACAAAAATAAGGACGAAAGATCTCCCTCTACCCTTGATTTGAGTACCACTGTTCACTGTCCCTTTTAATTACTCCGGAGCACAAGTGCATGCGAAGCAGGTTACCTAAATGTGAGCACGGCTCCACCTAAAAACAGAAAAAAGCAAATACACGGAGGCAAGCAACCAAATATATTGATGTTTTTCTTCAAAAATCCACATGGGGAAGAAGAACTGGACCAGTCAAAAAAGATTATGGCAAATGTTGAAAATCAAAGGACACCAAATATACCCCATGGTGGAACCAGACTGCCTTGGGTAAATGAGCCATTTTAAATGTTCAGTTCAAAATAAATGGAAATGTGTTTATCTTAAATTTTTGTTCTCAATACATTTCTTTTTCTTCCAGGATATTGGTGAAAATGGCCCAAATAGTATATAGTTTTTTGGTGCATAGCTTCTGGCCTAAAAACTTTTAGAGTACACACCGAACAGTATTTATGATATTTATATACCCAGTATCTGTGTGCATGTGCACTGAATTTTTTTTACCTGCAGCCTAAACTGCCAGTAAACTACTAATGTGTATTTTTTTGTAAAAGTTTGGCTGGATTTGACTTTGACAACTTTTCATCTCTCTACACATACATGTCGACATGTGGTGCTCAAGAGGGTAAAGGTACATGACACATACACACAACCACACAATCCCACACAAATCCTCAGGGTTTGTTTTGACAGAGGTTGTGTCAGGCATGTCTCCCACTTGTCACACTGAGACATATTTGTATGGGTGACACACACACAGACACATATGTTTGTTTTCATAGTGCCTGTCTGGTTACACCACCCAGTTCAGTGAAGACTTCATAGTGTGTGTGAGTGTGGCGTAAGTAAAACTAATGTCGTAATATGTTTACCAAATCACATTTCTTCCTTATGGGCTGAAAAAAAAAATCCCAAAAATGAAAATGATTGAATGTTCAGGTGAATAGATATTTTAAGTTTAGACTGAGGTTAGGTTTAGGTTAAGGTTAGGGTACAGGCTAGTGTTAAGCCTGTCATACTTATGGTAAAGGTCAGAGTCTTCAAACACTGGGGATATTATACTGCAACATTTAAAAGAGCAAAATCCCTTTATTGTTTGGATTCTGTGTCACCATTTACATAAAACACAAGCTGTGTATCCAGGACATGAACACTGTGACTACACAGCTCTGCAAATGACGGTGAAGACGACCCCAAAATAATGGGATTAATTCAGGTTCCTATGCATTTATGACAAAGGCTTTCCAGACATTGTTTGAGTCAGGAAATGCACTAAATATGTTGTAGTTTTTGACAGGAAATGTACATTGCAAAATAACAACTTGTGTACTATAGAGGATAGACAGATGTTTTGATGAACTAAAAAAATAATAATGATTTTCATAAAACCCAGTTTGTGTCCCAGACGTTTTGTACCTGCACCACTTTATTTTAAAACATTAAAACAATTGTGATTTTTGAGTTTGTCAGAAAAGGGTGTTATTCAACTTAAAGCATTGTGTAATATGAGAAAAAAAACTTTATGCAATCATTACAGAAATTAGATTTAAGCCAGAAATACTGAATGAAGTTCAAGCCCTGAGTTTATATCTGGTGAAGAATGGGCTTAACTGCACATAAGCCCCTTCTTGCACTGACAAAGCATTGAAATGATCCATGTTAATACCTTTTGCATACATTCTGGTTCTGAATGTTAAAGCTACTAAAATGTCATGAAAAGAACACAAATATCTCACTGAGCAGAAAATGGGACAGCAGCATAACCGCTGCCTGAAGAAAAGTAAGTCTGTTAGGATTTAAGACCTGAATGCAACAATAACGCAAACTTGAGTAGGTGTATTTTTGTTTTTTGGATAAGAAATACACTGTGTTTTAAGTGTCACAAAAAAGTCCATCCTCTCATTAGGGGAAGATTACAAACATATTATTTTACACTGAGAGTAAAGAGTGCACTTATAGAATAGGGAATAAAATATCACTCATTTCATGAATCAATATTTCTTATTTTTTAGCACCATTATAAAACAAGGGTCATTTGGATAAGAATGCTTAAATGATTATACCACAAAATTAGTTCTGACTTGAAATAATTGTACCATGACTTGAAATAATTGTACCATGACTTGAAATAATTGTACCATGATCTGATTCAGAGGCGGATCAGAAGTTATTAGTAATTGGTTCAATATAAGTTTGTCTCATGTGAGTTCATAAAACACAAATACAAGGTTAAAATGAGCAAAGCAGTAGCAAAGAAATGACAAAAAAACTGTCTCAAGGTTTAACAGGGCGGAATTATCTCTCCAGCTGAAAAACATGACGCCAAAATTGGGTCATTTTTTTCCTTTGGCAATCTGGAGAAACTCTGCTCTGCTTTTATCTCTTTACGACATGTGAAACTGTAATCTTCACTATAGTCGTCAGCCCCTAACCACTATGACTATGAAATATTCACCACTAAGACACAAACTCGGGATGTAAATAAACACTGCCCTGTTACAAAAGACAGAAGTTGGAATTGTCAGAAATACTTTTTGTCAGGACATAAATTTCACTTATCTGCCAAAGTATGATGTTTTTGTGGAAGAGACCAACATATTTTAATTTGCATACAGTCAAAAAGTTTCTGCTCAGATGCAGTCACTCTTAAAATTGCCGGCTGAAGGCTTCAGGCCCTGAGAGTCAAGAAAAAAATTGCGATTTTGATTTTCTAAAAGGATTATCACACCATAAACTGTTCATTAAACTACAGTAGTTACTCATGTTAGAAGTGTTTTAAACTGTCTATTAGAGGTTTTCTACGCCATTATTGGTTTATTGGTCAGGTTAATGATCCTTAACTGCACTAATTATCAGGCTAAACTGGGTCGGGCCCTTGACTATGCAGCACAGACCTTTTTTAAGACTGTGTGGGTCAAAGTGAGTCATACAGAAAAATATATTTATACAAAACTCATGAACCAAGTCCATGGGGGGTGATACATTTTTTAATTTAAGCCAGAAGAGAAACATTTTGGAAAATGCTTGGGGGACTCTGTCCATCCCCCTTAATCTTTAAGTTGGTGATTTTAATGTTTTCTCAGGTATTTGGATAAACTAATTAAAAATTAATAACATCAGTGAGCTTTGCCCTGATGCGTTTGCTGCTGCCGCATTGCCTCAAAGTTGTGGAAAAATACATCTCACTGTGGCTCCCTCATCTTTCTTGTTGTGGTACGAATGTTATGAAGTGTGTTACTATCAATTAGAATTAATTCTTCTGACAACAAACAATTAAATATCAGCCAGACTGTGTGAACAAACACAAGCCATGCGTCAGTAACTTTACATTTTCGGAGAGTAAATTTCACAATTACAATCAGTAAACTAACACGATCTCTGTCCACATGAGCATTCTGCATCAGTTTTAATCTCTGTCTATACTAACATGCCTGAAAAGACATATCACATGACGTACACCTGGCATGGGCCTGCTGGTGAAAACGGGCAAGTTTGTCCCACTCAGGTCCTGGTGGACAGTTGTCTCATTGTAAAAAGCAGAATTTAACTGCACAACATCTTTAGCAAAGACAACAGGGTAAAGTTAAGGCTAATGGTGGTTGGTTTTTTTTCTGCAAGAAGGCCATGTGATAGAAGCCTGATGTATAAGTGAAAAGACCAAATCAGAAAGCTGTCGTGAGTGTCTTTGGTATCATCTCCAAAAATCTCAGTTTCTGCCCGTCTATAATGAACCAAAGATCAGTGGTGTTTCCAAACTTAAAGCGGCTCTAAAAAATACAGAAAATATTGCAGTGTGGGTCTAGCCTAACAATAAAATCTAATAATAGTGGTAGAAAGAAAATATTTAATACACAACGTTAGGAATACCAGCTGAGAGGTAAAAGTTTTTCTGAGGCACTGGTTGCTCCACTTGTCATTTAACCTACGTATGTAAAGACAAAGGTATAATGAATGTTTAGATACAGCACCGCGTTTTAAATTGAGGTGTCTACCTTTTGAAGATGAGGGCAATAACAAAGTCAGGGTTGACTCGGATTCTCCAGTCGCACTCTTTCCCAGGGGGGTAAGGCTGCGGGTAGTTAGGAGACAGAATGACACCAGAGGGTCCACTGATGTTACCCCCACAGGTTGCTGCAGTCAGACAAGAGAGAAACAAAAACAGACAGAGAGGGAGAGAGAAAGATGATTACACAGCACTGGGCTTGAGGTAATTTGGAAAGAGAATCACCCCTGATTGACCACTCATATAACCCCAACAGGTCGGCTGAGTGAGAGAGAGTGCGTTAGTGATGGGAGCTATGGCAAGAGTTGGTTAGAAGAGGGAGAATTGCACCTGTGGGGCCACTGATATTACCTCCACAGGTAGCAGGAGAGGGTGAAAGAGCAAAAGGCAGATAGGGAGAGACTTTGAGATTTAGTTACAGAGTGAAGGACTGGGGGTAGTTAGCAGAGAGAATCACCCCTAGTGGTCCTGTTATCCCACAACAAGCCAGTGAGCAGAAAAGAGATACTGGCAAGAGAGTCCGATAGATGCATTCAGCAGCAATTTGGTGATGTGAAGGAAGAATCTGAAACATGGAGAGGTGTCTTGGGGGTGGCAGGTGGGTGTGAATGGATTATCAACAGTGAAACAGGGGTAAACAAAGGCATTAATAGCTGCAAATCACTCACACAGATACACACTTATAGGCACTAGACAACTGTGTATAATTCGTGGTAATCTTAGGAGCTTTAAAACACTGAGGGATTCACATTCTGACGTAAAGGTGCTTGGGAGGGAAGCACAGGCAGGAAGCTGTGAGGAGATGGAGGGAGATTTAAGCCCTACACTTTACCTACAGTCACGCAAAACATTAGGTCAACTGGCATAGAGTCAGAGGTAATATCAGGGACAGAGCGTAATGTGTTTCACAGGAAAATGACTTGTCTCTGTGACCGCGGTGGATGACTTCCAGATCGTGCTGGCTGATAAAGAAAAGGCAACAGAGAGGGAGGCTGTGGCAACTTATAACAGGGGAAATTATGGTTATTCCTTTGCGCTGAGTTGGGTGGGTGGGCAATGTGCATTTTCCCTCTTACATCCCTTATTCAGCTGTGAGTGATGTCCTACCTCATCCTGCTCCTTGAATCATTAAAAATACAGCAGCTACTCTGACTAACATCACAAAATAGGTCATGTGCAATACAAACCTGGATACAGCGGTCAATAAGGAAAATTAACTTTATGCTGTATCCCAATATAGTCACATAGTTCTGCAGCAGCCTGCGACCAGCTTAAATGTGGACGGAGGGATCTTTGAATGTAGCACAGACGTTTTGTGGTAAGAATACAGTAGAATATGTAGTTTAATAGGCGAGGACAGTGAAGAATCTTTGCATTACAAATTATATCTTTACCTACGCCAAGGAGGTCGTGTTTTGCACTGCACTTGTTTGATTGTCAGCAGGATTATGTAAAAGCCACTCAACAGATTTCCATGAAATTTTGTGAAACGATGGAGCATGACCTAAGAAAGAACTCATTAAATTTTGGTGCAGATCTGGGTCAGGGAGGCTGGTCAAGGATTTTTTTTCACTTTCTGTAACATTGTCGGGACGTTTCTCAACATTTAATAATTCATGGATCTTGATGAAAAAAATCTGACAGGTTTAGGGGACTAATATTTATGTGAGCATGTGAAATTTGGTGGAGATCCAAATAAAAACGCAGATATAGTAAGTTTAAATGAGGTTTCACAAGAGGACTAATGCTGTCTATTTTTTTTGCATTGACTTTGCTATTCCTGTATTTTTTCCTGAAAAAATGAGAAAAGCTAGTTATGGATAGAAGTAATTTTCTTCCTTTGTTGGGGAAGTCGATTGTGACAGAAAGAGTTGAGGAGGAAATAAAGGAAGAAAAGCACACCTGAAAGTGGGAGACTGAAAACGTCTGGAGTGGGACGTGGAGGCTCACTACGCTGTCGGCAGCATATGGGCTCGATGAAGGTGATAATTGAGGAAGAGAGCAAACAAGCTCTGGTTTTTCTGAAGTTTTGATACAGGAACCCTGTCACAGCTACATGCCTCCCCATTTTAAATGTGCCCAATCCACAACCTGTCCAGCACAGCTACAGAAGTGACAGATGCATTTAGGAGGTTTTGGTGCTGCTTGCTGAGTTTTATAAAACACGGCTCAGTGCTTATTCTAACATTACTTCAGCACCTGTCCAGCTTCTACTTCTTTTCAGAGACTAGCTCCAGTTAATTTGTCTCCAGAGAAGTAGGCATGGCAGAACAATACAAAGGCACCTAATGGACCTACACTATCTCACATGTTCCCCACCCACACTTGGTGACACCAACTACTCCATGCACTTGTTCCTCATTGTGCAATCATCTACTCACCTGCTGCAATACATAAGGACTGGCCTGAGCACTATCTCCTTGCCAGAACATCATCTTGCCTTGGGGTATTTAAGCCTTTTGCCAGCCCCTGCCTAGAACTTTGTATTTTTGGAAACTGCCTTAATTCGTGTCTTTTTCACCAGATTATCTGCATCAGTCTGTTTGTCACACTCAGCCATCTCCCCAGTGACATTACTACCTGGTTCCTGTCTGGAAGTCTTTTTAACAGCACACCTGGTACCCGCTACCATTCCCTCGACACGGACTCTTCGCCACAATTCCAAACTTCCTGGTTTGATAGTCACTACACTGTAACTACTACCTTGCACTTATTATTCTAGAGTATTGTGTCCTGCTTTTGGAGTTCAACGTTCTTGCTAGTTCTTCACTTCAGGCTTCTCTGGGGTCAGGGTTAGGATCATTCTAGATCATCAAACCTCCAGAGGTTTTGTTTTGACTATTCCAATTTTCGGATGTATTCATAAGAGCAGGGATTGCAGGTGTAGATGTCTAATGAACATTATCTAACAATCTTTTCATATTTAATCAGTTTTTTTTTAGCATTCAATATGAAATGTCACCAACTCATTAAAGCTTCACTCATCAGACCATGGCGTCAGATCATATCTTTTATTTTCATGTAATTTCATCTCAGTTAGACAGTTCATGGGTAATGTACACCTACCTATACACGCTGGAGGGTCTGGTTGCCAGTAGAATCTGTTGTCCATCCGTACACATGTGATGGTGTCCTGGCCTTCCAGCTGATAGCCTGGGTCACACTGGAATGTCATGCTGTCACCGGGCTCCTTACTGTCCCCGTATCGAGAGCCATTCACAGGGATGCCTGGGTCATTGCAGGTCGTCGCGGTAGTGGCTGAAAAGTGTGAAGCAGACAAAAAGAAACAGATATTGACATACTGTTGGTGGACAGAGAGAGAGACAGGGAATGAGACAAACACCTTTAAACAGTGTTATCATCGCTGGCTGCTGCAGACAAAGAGTGTCTGAGTTCTAATGGGGCTGACTGTCATCACGCTGACAATGACTGACAAAATGATTCTATTGAAGGTAGCAGTGGTAGCTGGGGACAAAGAGCTCCGGCTCGATCTGAATAGTCAGCAACTAAATGATAAATGGATCATCAGTTCAATCAAATTTGACCTGGTGCTCTATTGCGTTTTAATTAGTGGCTCCCCCTCAGGCTAAATGGTGTGTTAACTAGAGATAATTAGATCTGTAGTATATTTCTTATATTATAACAATCAAACGCACAGTAAATATATGTATACACGTATACCGTACCTTTAATATTTGTAATATTCCAGTACTGTGTACTAGACAGTGAATTATATAAGAGGCTATTCCTCCTCTGTCATTTGAATCAGTTGGGGTTCAGAACCCTGACAGGATCGTATAATACATCTAAGGGATTAAGAGATCATAACGGCAACGAGAGGAAATCAGCAAAAACAAGATACATTGACTAATTTGTCAGCATCTTTTATTTCTGTCTTGTTTAACTTTGAATCATATCTCAGCTCTTGTGTTCTGCTCATTTGGATTCTGCCAAACTCAAATCATATCAACACTGAAACATATAAATTATCTTTTTCATGAATATTTCAACAGCTGGTGTTTGGCTAATCATAGTGATTCCACATTGTGTTCATTAAACCTTTAGAGAACACAACTGCATGTATATAATAAGATCAGATATTGACACAGAGAGTGACGAAGGGGGAAATGAATATGTGTTGTAACGTCAGCCCTTAAACCCACTCCCAGAATACAGCCACAAACCCTGCTTTGAAAATAAGTATGGTGGTTGCGTTTGCTAAATCAACACTGTGGTAAAGAGTTTTAATTAGCATGTTTAGTGAGGGCAAATATTTATTGTTTTAAATATGGGGATTATGGGAGAAATTAAACGTGAAAAAAATAGAGAGAGAATGTGTTGGATGTTAATATTTATGACTAAAGATATGCATCTCTTTGTTTGCACACTTTTGGATGCAGATGTATGTAAACTACCAAGTGGAAGGTGTGTGTGTGTGTGTGTGTGTGTGTGTGTAAAAATGAATGGGAAAGTTTTTAGTTATTATCTATGAATTAATTTATAATCTATTGTTGTCACTGTTGTTGCTGTTTAAGTCTTTCTTTGCTGAAAATCAAGATTTTAAATATGTTATTGTGTCCTTGTTGTGCCTTTTACAAGATAAAGAAAATATTTTGAGTGAAATAAGCACTATGGAGCTGAGTATTTCCACTTCCACGGAGCTATATTCATTTACTCATAGATCCCAGTCATGAAATGAATAAAGAAGATGTGGAGTTTTTGACAGCTCTTGTGAATATGTCAATTTGAGGAACAAGGGGTGTAATAAGCTACTGAAGTGGGCCTGTGATCAAATTTCTAAATATATTAAGTACAATAATCAATAAGTAACTAACATGGGCGGAAGTAGAGCTCTTTTTTTTACCATTTCTCCTGGTTTCCTAAACTGTGGCACAAAACCTAAACTGAGCCCCCACTGGTCCCTGGTGGTCTCCTTCAGTCGTGAGCCCGAGGGTGACATATTACATTTCTATTTTGATACTTTGGCTAAAGGTTTTTTTAAGAAATCCTGTTAAATGTGGCATTAATTCCAGATTAATTATCTTTTAGCTGGTATAAATGAGGTTTATATAATAAGTAAGAAAATGTGTGTGATGAGTTTGTTACTCAGCTAAAACCCCGGCTAATTCGGTAATTAGTTCTTCTCCATAAATGTATCTTGGGGATTGGGTCGTGTGGCAGACCACCCACATTGGTGATTTAGTGGAATTATGGTAAATTTTTTATTCTTTTCAGTCATTCACAGATCCACAACAACAGAGTTTGATGGTTTTGATTGAGACGTAAGGCTACTCACTGGAGAACTGTATAGAGAATCCCTGCTTGCTGATGAAATAATCGGAATCAAACTGTAGGGTGAGTATGTTGAAAGTCGAGTGAATGTCTTCTGGTAGGGCTGGGCCTGACCATTCTTTCAACAGGATCCCCCCGTCAGATGGCCCAGATGGACCGTCCCAAACTCTCAGAATATCGTGACCGATCTCGGTGTCAAAGACGATGAAGTGGAGGCTGAGAAACACAAAGATACACAGCTCAGAGATCGGTAAAACTGATTTTTCAGTCTGCACTTTTGCCAAAAAATCATATTCATAAAATAAACTGAAGCTGAGAATAGGCGGATCACATATATACACACACACACAGATGTCAGCAGTTGCCAAAATGTGTTGAGAAACACAAGGGTGGCATAATGACTAATGTGGTGTACTCTGCAACCCAGCAGTGGCTTTGACAGTGAACGTTTATCTCTAATTAGTGAATATATTATTACCTGACAGTCTTGTGAGTGTTTGCTTCTATGGTGCACAGTGTTTCTTCTAAAATGGAGTTGCTGCAGCGGAGGTAGAGCAAAACATTCTTTCTCTTTTGCACTTTTTTGTGTGCTCACAAAGCGCATGTGCCTGGAGGCTTCTATGTATCTGCAGGTATCAAATGGGGCTTTTGAGGCCCAAGTGCATACAGTACATTAGTGCACAGTAATAAGCAGGGGAAACATCTGTGAGGTTTCTTCACCATGTAGGAAAAAAACACTTTTATTGAGCAGAATAACAATATAATATTCACAACGATTACTGCCACTTCTTGAGCGGGAAAATATAGCTGTAATCCATTCTTCCAATCATAAAATTTTAAATTTCCTTCTTCAATTAACTTGCAACACATCACTGTTGTATGATCAAACTCTTAAGTGTTGATTTACTTAAATGTAATTACATTTTCGATGATAAAATAAATTACATTTATATTTCTCTAAGGGAATCTTAACCGAATAATATGCAAAGTGAATATATATGTGAGTGAATCAGTCGTCTTTGAGGTTGACAGCTTTCGCAAGTCACCAAGGATCTTGCACATAGAAGAAACCAATAACAGTGCATGTGGCACTGACATCTACACTGTGCTTGTTTTGAATGATCATTATTGGATAAGCACAAACTTTCTTGTGTATGATTTGGAGGTGACTGAATTGAACTGGGAATGGAGCGTCTATAGTTTCCTATATGCTGGTTTTTATTCCCTCCACCTCTCTCCTCTCAGCATGAGCATATTTCATATTGCACTGTTAAGTGTATATAAGGCAAACAGTGGTGCATGTGTCATGGAAACCATTCTTTATTCTCTAATGACTTATATTGGTGCTTAAATTAACCTGTCTTGTTTGGTAGCCGTTTGGTAACCTTATCTAGGCCAAAGCAAAGCAGTCGTGGAGCCACATGTAAGTACTGTATATTGCCAATGCAAACAAAAACTCTTGGCTCTTTCTCTTAATGGAAAACAGAGAACATTCCAAAAACTTAAATTTCAGGTCATCATCCTACTCACAGTGGATTCAGTGTATATCCAAGTGCTTCATAATTACCTGATGGTCTTGCCTGTGTCAGCCTCTATAGTCCAGGTGCAGTGGAGGTTGTTGTCATAAGGAGCAGGATAACCCGGAGACAGAATGCGTCCAGACACTGCTCCAGTTATGTGACCTCCACACTCAGCTACAAGGACATGAGACACAGGGATGCATATTTTAACAACCTGTTTTAACTTTACCAACTATATTTTTCCCAGCTCTTATTGTTTCTTGTTTCCACCTGTAATATGGAGCATGGATCATTTCACATTTAGCAAAAAAGAAGAAACAAATAAGAAACATCCGGCCGTTTTTCAAAGACCAATAAAACTGCATTCTGAAGGATTGCGACAGGGTTATTATGAATTACAAACTCTGCAGTAGATATTAATGGTGACTTGCAGCCCTCTCAGTCATAAACTCCACTCTTCTCAATGACAAAAACATTTGAACTGTATTCAATAATATGAGTCATCGCACTCATCTCTTATAAGGTGAACAAATAAGGATAAAAACGTGCAGTTACACCCGTTCGTTTGCAGTGTCACAGTGAATTGAAACTCGACAGCCCTGTTGAGCACATTCATTTGTATAAGATAATTCATCTGATTAGTAACTGTAGCACTCTTTTTTTATGTTTATTTGTTTACAGCACGACATGGATTCTTCGGAGTTGGACTGTAGTCAAATTGTAGCCTTTTCGGAAAAGATTGAGGTGTTTTACTGTCACTGCTCTAAGATCGGTGTGTGTCAGTAATATAAGAGCATATCGATTACAGCAATTATTTTGTCATATTATATTTTGTCATATATAATGTCATTATATTATATCATAATTGCAGCTGCAGAAAATTGATTTATTCATTAATAGCCTATTTATAAACAATTACTTAATTAAATGACAATCACTAACGTTCACAAAAAGGTTCGACAGAAAATTAAAATCGCCCAACAGAATGTTGATGATGGAGAAAATACAACTTCTGATCATTTCTATTAGTTAGTCTTTTGCACACTGATGAAGTTTCTCGACACAGATGATCTTTTAAGCAGAATGTGTGTATGTCAATAGCAGGTGCATCAGAGAGACTGGCAGATGAGCTGCACAGATGTTAATCAAATCTGAGCTGTCCTTGCACAATTGTATAACCTCACATAGTCATGAGGTTTTCCTATACTGTTAGATTGTATGTGGAGCTACTCTATTGCATGAATATATTTAAACATTGGCTCAGCTCCTCTGGCCTTTTTGTGTTTGCTCTGTCTGGCTCTAAGAACAATTCAGAGTGCATCCTTGCAGGGATATGTCGACTAGCTATCTATTTGGCTTCCGAGCTTTACCACGAGAAAAGGGTGTTCCGACGTATGACACAAATAAGTGGTGGATTTGGGTAATCTCCCTTTAACCTCACTCCGTGTACTGTGTCATTCTAGGTGAATGGAAATGTGACAATGCATACTAACTGAAACAGAATAAAAGTCAACCAAACAGATTTAAAGCAGGAAAATCTCAATAACAAGGATTAGGTAGGTGTTCCAGTGGTTTTGGATTAGTCGAACATTTGGGATCTGTGAAGACCTCTGTTCTCACCAGAACCAAATCCTTCCTATCCAGCCTCTCCAGCCCTATTAAGATTTCAATTTATCTCTGTAAGAGAGGGTTCCTCTACTTTGCAGTAAATTACTCTGAGGTGTGAAGGTTGAGTTAAATGAGGATCAGTTAAGAAAGGCTTGAATCATTAAATCAACCTTGAATTATCCAAGCTCCTGGTATACAGTTTCAAGGTGAGTGAGTAACTTTGATGGCTGTTTTCTCTTAAGGATCTCTCTAAAATGTGCCATGTCCAAGAAAGAAATGCTGTTTAATGCGCAGGAGATAACTGGCTTTGTGTGTTATTTATAAATTGTTTTCGGAGGTGAGGAACAGAAGAGATACTGAGAGGCAGGGGAGCGGGTTGGGAGCAGGTTTGAACTCATCGTGGTAGTCCACGGTCCACGTGGTCGCCCACTGAGCCAGCAGATTGCTGCTGATTAGGAGGCAGTTTGGTACAGTGAGGGCTTAATATCTATGTGCGCAATGCGTGTTTGTGTGAGTTAACACAGCTCCACGATCTGCAATAATATGACAACCTACTGCTGTTGCATTACCCTAGGCAGAATGCGATCGCACGCAAACACAAACACAAGGGGAGCAGCAGAAAACCACACTGACACACAGAAGACGAGAAATATGCTTTTCTCTTTGTGAGTCTCAGCACACACAGAGAGAAAAACAAGAGTCATTTAGTTGGTTTGAGTCAATGACAACTGCAATTCCCTGAGAGAATGACACACACACACAGATAGCAGAAGACAGACAGGTGTACTCTGTGAATAGAGGAAGAGGGAGAATGACTAAATAAGTCCCACAAAAGCAGACCACCACTCTCTTTGACTCCGTGTGGGAGAAAGAAAGAAGGAAGGTATAGTAACAGCCTGAGGCAAAGCCATCTTCTCATCTCCGTGCTCGCACACACTGATATGGGACCAAGTCAGACAGACTGGGACGGAGATATTCAGAGCAGAAGAAAGACAAATGTCCCAACACACAGACAAAGGAGGAATAAACAAAGGTAGCTTTAGAGCTAGTTAGCTCAGGGCTCTGCCAGCAAGTACTCTCTTGGTTGCTAGCTTACCTGAAATAAGGCAGCGACAGAGCAGCTACAAAATAATGACTGACTGTGGAGGTATACAGGGAACAAACACACACACACACACACACACATGCGCACACACAAAACACTTTCTCATTCTAATGCCACAAACACACACCACACACACACACATCCTTTTTAGTTGCTATTAGCAACTGCATCAGGCCAAGTTCCAACTCAGAGAGCTCAGGTGTGCTGCCAGGTTAGAAAGACACAAAGTCTGGCTCGGCTGTGGGGAATTCAATATTAACACTTGCCAAGTGCTCAGGTCCACTAAACAAGGTAGAAATATTTACACAGCAAGTGCTTCACCTTTTTAAATTATGCAAAGCCACAAAATATTTATGGACAAGCAGGAATTATGGACAATAAAAATGGAGAATTTTCTGATGGGATTCCAATGTCAGGTTCATGCTTCACTGGTGGTTGAATGAAAACCAACAGTAAAATGGCTAGCTGTACAAGCTGAAGCTAAAACATAAAATTACTTTCATAGGTCTATACAGTATGCAAAGAGTAAAAATCACCATGGTACACTTGATATCGTTCTCTCCAACCAAATGAAGAGCTGCCAAGTGCAATCTAAAGCTCTATCTACCCCCTGGTAGTGTATCTACCTCACAACCTGAGGAACATTTAAATATTATTCAAATGAAATATTTTTGATTTTTGACTGATATTATGGGAGGTCAGAGCAGTAGTCATGTGATGGCTTAATATTATATCAGGCTTTCTAGCAGTCCTCCCATGAAATTATTTACAAAATGTTATGACCTTTCCACTAAAAATGGATATGAAGTAGATACGACTTAACAGTCGTTTTTATGTTCCTTTTTTAAATGTGTTTACGTGACATTCAGCCTCTGTGTTTCACCAGTCTTAAAACAAAACTCAGCAGTCTGTCTTAATAGGTCGATAAAATTTAAATTTTTATTTACTTATTATTATTATTTTTTTTTTAAATGTCTAGAGAAACGCACAGTTCCCATAATGAGCAAGCACTTTGACTTACGTTTTTTTTCTGTTAGCAGAAATGGAATATACTGTTCATATTTATATTTCAATAGTCTGTATCACATCATATCTATCACATGAAATTAAGAATAGTGTTTTCCTGAAGTTCGCCATGTTGCACCATCACATGTCTACTGTTGAATAATCAGTCAGAATTATCTAAGTCTGAATATTGTTCCAATAATCATTGTTATCATGAGTAGTCTTAACACATATGATATAGAAGAGTTTAATGTCTCCAGGTGAAATCTTTGCCACCATATTCACTGTGTTCACAAATAATCAAAGGGAAACTAATTGGAAGTAAGATATGATGCAGTGATCAGTATTGTGCATATGGCTGCACTTTCACTCCAGTCTGTGTTGTTCAGTATCTGAAAAGATACACACGTCATAATCATGTGATCCTTGTCTCAAGAGGCAACAATTCTAGATGAGTCAATAGTGTTTTTACATAACATCACTTTCTGATGACTAGAATTACTGCCTCGCAGGTCTGCACCAATACATTAAGTTGCAGTTTACATCCATGTCTGTTTGAGTTATGGCCCAAAACATGTCAAGTAAGGTCACAGTGACCTTGACCTTTTAAATATTAAATCTTTCACTGGAAACAAAAAGGCATTGAGCTTCCTCCAGGCATTAAGGACTCACATAAACTCTCTGACAGGGCTGAAATGCTTGGTTGTTTTAACGAGCTGCTTCTTCTTTCATTGCCTCTGGTTCCTTGTTCGACCTTTGACTGCCTCCGACTACCAAACTCTAATCAGTTCATGCAAGAAACGTTTGTGCCAGAGTTGAAGAAATCCCTTCTTGTTGCTCCTGAGATATTGTGTTCTCAAGGATGGGATGGACGAATGGATGGACGACCCCAAAACATAATGCCTCTGGCCACAGCTGTCGCCAGCGTGGAGGCATAAAAAGTGTCTCCTGATAGAATATTCTATTTACTGTGCATGTTAAGAATAAAACAGAAAGCTGAGGCTTCTGTCAAAGTACTTAGCATAAGATACTGTGCACACCTTCAGGGTACAAGGAAGTAGTCTAACTTACATTACAAATTCATCAAGGTTCAATTCAGACGGTAATCACTTACTTTTGCACCTTAACCATGCCATCCTTAAAACACACAGAGGTCCACTAAAATCTAACTCTGATGCCCGAGTGAAGATACTCTTGTGTACATAGGCTGATGGATCAGTAATGGCAGTTTTTACCCAGTCAGGTGTGTTAGTACCACTTCAAATATTTTCCATCAATCCCTATGCCGTCATTTTTAAGTATTCCCCATGTATTGACTCAATCACTAACTCTCTTTTAGCCCTAATGCTCTTTCTGGAGTTCAGAAACAGACAGGAGTAGACTGCTGCATAGCCAGGCTACATTTCTCACTGAGGTGAATAATTCAGATCTTGTAGTCATGAATTATTGATGTACATAAAACTTGCACACATGTTGACATACTAACCGATACAGGAAGGAAGTGGTTTATCCCAGACACGTCTGTCCCCGCTGAGACAGGTCAGTGTACTGCTGCCGTGGAGGCTGTATCCAGGGTTGCAGGAGTAGAGGACAAAAGTGTTGGCATAATGACCGTCATCCTGGATCTTATAGCCATAACTAGGGACACCCGGTTCCTCACAGCGTACCAAGTCAAAACCTAGAGAGACAAACACACACAACGTATTTTCAAACTAACAGAATAGGTTTTCCTGTGCATGCAGTGAGACAACATTGCATAAATGAACAGGATGATTCAGGGCTGTTTTGGACAAGAGGTCATACTATTCTTTTACTGAATTCCACTGCTTCTGCAGAAAATTGAGTTTGAACACTCAGTGCTGATAATATCAAGTGCACAGCTCACATAATGTTGAAAAACTACGTGACAGCTGCAGTGAAAGCGATGGACATTTCTAGAGATTCTACTCATATACTAGTTTCTGATATTTGAAAAATGTATGGGCTTTTCCCTTCACTCAAGGACATAATGATGAGTAGTGAGAAGTGTCAGCAGTAATATTTATGGACTGAAAGTTTGGTTCCTTACATGAAGCTGGGGGAAAAACATCAAACTATAATACCACATTCCACATAAACAAAAATATTATGTACACTTGAATGAGCACACTGCAAGGGGTATGTATGTGTTTTAAAGTTATCAAAGTAGAAGAAACGTCCTCGCCTCAAAGACAGATGGATAAACAAAGACACAACAATGTCACCAACACATCCATACATAACAGTGAGCAGGTCACTATCAGTAAAGTGTAACTTACAAATAAGTCAACTTGTGACCTGACATCATAGTGAAAATATCATCTAATCAAGTATTTATTGATATCTATACATATACATATGAAGACTCAGCATGGTAATATCTATTCATCTCATCTAGTCACCATAGACTTCCCTGGTGCCTTTTGAAAACTGGCTCTAGATAATCTCAAAGGATGGATGGATGGATGGATGATGGATGAATGGACGGCTGGATGGATGATGGATGGATGATGGATGGATTTCAGCTAACCGAAATCATTCAAATGATATTTCAAACATTTTTTGGTAACCTGAGGTGAATCATAAAGACTGTGGAGTATCTATTTGGCGGAGGGTGCCAAATGATTTGATTAGATAACAGCAATCTCCTCAGATCTCCTCTCGACTGTTAAGTGATGTAATTATATATGTAAAACGGATCCTGTTATTGGTTGTCATCACTGTGTAATCACAATTTACTCCTGGTGAAGCTTTTGTGTTTTACACAGACAGCAACATTTCACGTTACCTGTCACCAGTTTTAGAAATTACCTGTAAAATCATAAACCCTTTCTATATCCATCTCTGAAAATAATATGCATTACAATTCTGTCAACCTTTCTTATCAATATGTTGTACTGTTGTTTGAATCCTTATGACTTTATTAAAACAGCTTTAAAACCATAAAGTGCTTTAACAGCCCCTGTCCATATTTAAGAAACCACCACTGCCTGTCAGACGCCTCTTTCTCCTTTCTGCTGTTTTCTTTGTCTCAGTCTCTGTTATCCATCAGTTCCTCCATCGTTGCAGAACTTTGCAGAAGGTGACACCTTCCCCAATTTAATAACTTGCAGATTCACTGTCTAATGGTTTCACTGACATGCAGAGCATCCATCTGGCATCTACCTCTGTCCTTTATCCCTCCGTCAAGCCACACCCCCACTCCAGATGTGACACTTTCTCACCTTTAATGACTTTCAGATAAATACTCACCTAATAGCCTCTTTGACTTACACGGCAGCTGGTCGTGCCTTCTTAACAGACTCTCTTAAAAGCAATTAAGGTGTGTGTGTGTTTATGCACATGAGAGAAAACGAGAGCTTGCGCAGCATTTGTGTTGTCGTTTCTGTTTTCTTGGTAAAATACTCTTGTACTTTAGATTCTACCTTTAATAGAAATTTCAGAATATTGACCTCTTTCCACTATCAGAAGTAAAAGAAAATGTTTGCTTCTCTGGAGTTGTGTGGTACGACTCCTATGTTGGTCTGGTATGTGGCACTGAAGAAATACTTGACTGTGGCACAGGGCAGACATGAGAAATATTCATGAGGGCAGTCCAATACAATCCCTGCTGCTCTAGTTTTCAATTAAGGACCTTGGCGATGAGACTGTTCGTGTGCATGTGAGATAAAGAGTATTTCCATTTTTTGCCATACCTGAATAAAGCCTCCACAGCACCACACACCATGGTTGTAAAAGTAAATACAGTATCTACCTTAATAAGTAATTCTGTTACAATTTCTCAAAGGTGACTCACTTGTGTATGAGAGGCGAAAACCTTGGTTGGTTCCAGAGGCATTGCTGTTGAACTCCAGCCACAAGTGATTGGACGTACTGTTGATGACATAACCCGTCATGCTGTCACGTGTGAAGTTGCCAAGGAGACGGGATGAAGTGTTCTCTCCGTCATATACCTATCAATCAACAGACAGGAACAGGGCAACAGATACAAAGGTGAGGATTTATGTGGTTTCGCAGAGGTGTAAGTGAGCACCTGTCACATTGAGAAAACATGGGCGCACCTTGCAGTGCTAAACTTGGTGTGGAATACTTGATACAATCGCACATTTGTTTTGCTGTGAGTCCCCAAAATACCCAATAACACACGAAGGGCAAAGACTTTCAGTTATAGCAGGAAAAAGCCACTTTCCTGAGCTTTGCATCAGCATGGATCTTGTGAAACAACTCAAAGATGGAGCTCAAATATCACATGGTGGTTTCTAAGGTCACAAGTGAGATGTTAAGAGGCTTTATAAGAGTAAGCAGAAATGATGAAACCTCTTTTTTTAATGATCAACAATCAAGATTTCTCTGCAACAATTCCAGAGAGACAGGAAACAAAATGTTGATGGTGGGTAAATAAATTGGTTACCACACTTGAAATGTTGTTTACAACAATTAAAGTGGTGAAATGAGGATGTTGTATAACCACAGTTAGAAATATTGCAGTTTAATCCTTGTCTAGCACCTGCGGGAAGCAGCAGATTTAAGTATCACTTTAATTTGAGTATTGGCAGAGGGGATAATGCAGACCTAGATGAAAAATAAAAAGAAGCTTATTCACAGTTGAAGGTGTCTCTAGGTTTGATAAGTGTTTTAAATTTGTATTTATGTTTTAAAAAGTTATAGTGCTACAGACTGCTCTATAGAGGAAACTGCTGAGGAGTTATACAGTGTGTTTCCTAGAAATGGTCAGTAAACCTAGTGGCCTCAGTTTGTATGTTACCTAAACACTGTTGAGAACAGTAAGTCAAAGCGAGTGTGTGTTTGTGTTTGTGACTTGGTTTGAGATTCTGCTGTGCATTTTAGAGGAGGTGAAAATAACAGGAGAGTGAAATTTATAAGAATTGTGAAATTAATGAAGATGTTGGCATCTTGGCTATTTTGCCTCAATCTTATTCAATATGACAATTTTGCTTCTCATCACTTGAATTATGATCATCAACTGTTTACTGGCAGCACAGACCAGAGAAAAACAGCTGGAGGTAATTTATCGTCAATGTGCTCTGTGAGACAAGGAGATGCAGTGGGTAAAGTGAAGGCTGCCAAATAAGAGCATTGCAGCTTGGCAACACTAAGCAAGCCTGAGTTTAATAACACAAATGACAACGTGTAACAGCATCCAGTCGAAGGGCTGATGTGCACACATCGCTCGTATCAAAATGTGTTGCCCGCTGTGTTTTAAAGTGTAACTTCACCTTAAGTTTAGGCTGAAGAGTCTCTCTCTGAAAATGTAAAAAATGCCTTGAGAACGCAGTGCTGGGAGGCAGGGCCAAGATACACCATCTACCTTTCAGTTTCCCACTCAAGAGCCATCGTTGTTGGAGAAAGCCTCCCACCTTTGATTAGAACGTGTTCACCTTTTCAAATATATATACATGTCTTGACACAGAGATATCCCTAAGTAGATGACATTTGCATTGGCCCTGCAAGGTCCAAGACAGTTTCAAACATTTTTAAAGTATTTTGAGCCATGGTCAACCCAAAAATGTCAATTTGTTTATAAAATTGGTCATAAATATGATATTAAAACCAAAGTAAATGGATATTATCAAAGAATAGTCATAGAATTTTGTTTAATGCTCAAAAACACATTTAGGGGTACAGTTTCTCTAAAACATGAGTAAACGCATAGTTTGTCTTTTGGAACCTGAGTGAGCTAACCTAGATACATACAAAGTGAACTGTGCTATTGACAAATGGAAGCTGTGTATTTAGCCATATTTTAGGGAGAATACTGTTTGCAATGCCCTGAGAGAGAGAATAGAGAGTAGAGGATTGTAGGCAGAAGAAAATGGACACATTTATATGGTTAATGTTTAAACATTTCAAGAGCTAGATACAAAATATCTGACATCAAAAAACTTTTTTGTGTTGAGATAACTTTTTTCATCTAAATTCTACTGATGACTCGGCTTCAATGTGTGGGGAAGTAGTAGTTTGGGAAGTGCAGTCTACTTTTGACTGCAGTGTGAAGGAGAGAATTAGGACTCTGAAGTACCTCATAATACTACTGCACAGCTGGAATATAAATGTGAACTGCTAGTGCTTATATTTGCCAGTCGGGGACATTTCTGCAGATTGGTGGTGACAGGTCTGCAGTTGGCAGGAGCGCCAAAGATAAAGGGCTAAGGCGACGGAGGAGACACTTCTGCATGAAGCCAAATAACAGTGTAGTGGGAGTGTGGTTTTGACGGAGAGGAGAAGAAAATAGAGGGACCTGGTAAAGGACAAAGTGAAAATGAGCTAAGATTCTTTGAAAACAGAGGAGCAGTATAATAATATCTGCAGCATTACTCTCTTAAAACTTTATTTCCCTTCTCTGTTTCCACGTCTGCACATCCCTCCAGTTCTGTCAGTGTCCCCAAAAGTTTGCGTTTTACCGCCTGTCTCTCCTGCTTTCTGTTTTTCTCCCCCTTTCATTCTATCTTTCTCTCCTCTCAGTTTCTGTAAAACTCAGTATGGTTAATGAAAAAGCCCTGCAGCTCATAAATCAACATGTCACCATCTGCCACCCCTCCTCTCTTTGTCTGTCTCACTCTCTCCCTCCGCTTGCTCTCTCACCACCTCAATTTTCATAACAATTCCCGCACACCCCCATTTTGTTTCTCCCTCACCCTCTCTCTTCCCCTCCTTGGGGCTGGTGTACATCGGTGTAAAATTAGTCAAGCACTGTATTAAAGGATGTTTTAGGCGATTTGAGCCTGACTATTCTTTTCCCCTACAGTACCAGGGCAAAAACCTACACCAGAAGCAGAAGGAGATGGAATGATCTGGTTAATTTGTTACAGGAGATTTTAGCCTAAACCTTGTGAAACAAATGGTCTGTGTTCAGCTGCAGTAGCAGGCATTGGCTCCATCACGCTTAGCCTGGGGAGTGGCATGCTAATTGCAAGCCGAAGTGGCACTTTGGGGATTTCCTTCTAGTTCATTATAGTTTGCACTTGGCTTTCCGCTAATTCTTTGGGAAATTTATAACTAACTGACACGTGTACATAGCCATTGCCCATATTAATACCCAGTTCCATCACACAAGCTGGCTGTAGTAGGCTACAGATAATTTAATCACAACAGTCTAAACTTTACATACTTACTACATTACTTTTGAATGAGACTTTTGAATATATTTTTTGACAAAATAGTAAAAAGGGATTCTGAGCATTCAGCTAAAAACACAATATAACACAAAGGAACAAACACACAAAAACAAAATTAATGGGTTGCATCGTTTAACTTCTCAGGAATGTCTCTGCAGCAGTTTATTTTCCGACCCACTGCAACACCAAATGTTATTGTGAAGAAACAGGACATTCAAAGGGTTTTATCTTGTTTACGTGATCTCAGTGCCTGTGTAACATCATGAGTAAAGTCACTAAATGCTCCATGCAAGCAAACAGTCTAAACAGAACTCTTTAGCATGACATGCTGCACTACACCCCAATTAGCAGATTTATGCATGACAATAAGCTAAATTAAACATTACAATGAGACTACACTAACATGACATGTGTGTTTAACAACTTAGCTTCACATTTACAACAAAAGAGAGAGAGCAGAGTGAATTCATACCCTCTGAGAAAACGAGAAACCCATTATACTAATTACTAATGTAATCATACTGATGGTATATAAACAAAATATGAATAACCTAAGAAATGTGAAAAACAAAAATGCTAACCTGCATCCTTCACTATAAAAGCCATAGACAGTTCAGGCAAAATGTACAATACCCTGTTCATAACACAGCGAAACAACATCACATAACAACATATCCCACAACCCTGTAATTATAGCAGCGCTACCCAGAAGTTAAATAAATAAGTGAAGTATAAGTTTGGGCATGTGGTATACTGGCACAGTGTTGGTATGAAAGATTAGACTCCATCTCTGGAGTAATTACGCAGTGTGTTGCGTTACCGTAAATCTTGTGTCAAATATCGTGTGAAGAACACAAACCTAACTTGGTGTGACTTTCCTTTCTTTCAGGGAGATTTGATTTTGTGATGGCTGTTCCACTGGGAACGTTTCCACTTCGTACAATGACGTTGAGCCACTTTAAACTTCAGTGAGAAATCTCCAAACACAATTTAACCACAGGCAGGCTGAGCCAATGCTCTACACCTAATACTGATAATACGCTCCAACCACATACTGGCTCAACCATGCCCACAGGCCTAATACCGATAAGATACACTGTGAATAAAAACATTTTTAGAAGATGTCTGTAGGACAGCATCAAGATAGTAAAATAGCTCACGCAGCTGTTCTTAACTGACACTGAAGTGGGCACAAATTCCCGAGAGAGCACTTATACAGAATAATGAGTCTTGAAAACATCTGTAATTCTCTTTATAGTTCAGACATTCACAAGTTTGTACTATGTAAATGATTCAATTAAATCCTTGCATGCACATCATGACAACAACAAATCCTACAAATTCACAAGGGCACCAGCAAACTGAGAAAAAAAATCCAATAAACTTATTCTTATTATATGTTTTGGCACAAACTAGGCTCTAACTGATTTTGAGATTGTAAATAGTAATGGTCTGTATTCGTAAAGCACTTTTCTAGTCTTGATGACCACTCAAAGTTCTTTACATTGCGGTTTTGCCATTCACATACATTCGTACAATGCATCTATGTGCAGCACTTTCTCTATCACACGTCACAAATGAATCAAACGTTTGTAGTTGTAAATAAAACATTCTTTAAAATGATTAAAATGCTTATGCAGATTTATTTTACAGCTTTGCAAAGGTTGATTTGCAATTACAGCATTTGGAATTACTTGACCCAAATTTTTACCATAAGTGTATCAAACCCAGGGTTAACCTCCAAATATAACAGTAATACTATAGATTATAGAACAATCTGTTTCTTAAAGGGGTTAAGAGAGGAAGAATTGATCCCTTGTGCCTCTGCTTCTCATGTATTCGTTCAGCCATGGATGGCCACTGCAGCAGGAGCACTAATAGAGAACATGGGTAATAAACCCCTGCAGGGATGTTATTGCTTCTTACAGCAATGTTTAACACATCTAACATCTGGGACCTGGACCTTGGTAATACAATTTAACTACATACTGGATAGAATAAGGATTCAAAGTCCTTCCGGTTGCTCGTGTTTCCAGTCTTGTTCTTGAACGCCTCATATAATGAAGGACTACACGTTTCCTGACATCTTAATTGGGCCAGGTGTTCTTGCTGGAACAAAAGCCTGCAGAATAGGCTAGAGTAAAAAAACTTTGGACTCAGCACTGCAACAAAATATGTTTGATGCAGAGAGACGTAAAATATATAGAGGAGAAATTCTCATTCAAGGTAGTTCTTTGGTTCTGTGTTAAAGGTGCTATATGTGCTATAAGTTTTCTCGAGCGCTGGCTGTGGTTTCTTGCCGGGAGCAGATGGCAGTGATAGTCTCTTCCAAAGTAATCTTGCAGGGCAGCTGGATTTCTAGCAAGCTCAATCTTGCCAGGTTCCAAACTATTTGCTTGTGGCTGAATCACAGTGGTTCAGACCAATCAGTGTGATTTTAGGAAGCAACTGTAGGCAGTTATTGGTTTGTCTTCAGTCTGACAACAGCAAAAAGTGGCAACCACAACAGCGGCAGGTCCAAAAGAACTGAGTATAGATGTTACTGTAGCAGCAGTTATATCAGGACTGGAGACAGGCACTGAGGGCTCCTCCTGATAAAAGAGCTGTATTTGTTTTCCTCTTGACTGACTTCTGCAAACAGTGATAGACCAATGGTTCATTCTATCACCTACTGTAATAACATTGGTTGAGCAGAAATAGCACAAGCTCCGTTACATAAAGAAGAGAGAGTAATGAAACCATTCCAACCTCCCTGAAATTAAACGTTTGTTCAGTTTATCCCCGTTCCTGTATCAGGTAGCTAAATGCAATTCTGGATAAATAAATTAAGAAAACCATGGGGAAGTAATGAAATGACAACCATTAATAAAAACGATATTCACAAGTCAAGTTGAGTTGACTCTGTTAATAGTAGTTATATCGTTATATCTGCAGTCAGTCTTCAAATATTTAGGTGTTTGTATGTATTCAAGTTGATGCTTTTGGCTAAACTATTCACATCTGCTGACGATGGTCCTTGTTTTTACTACCCTCATCATATAAAAACTTAAAACTAATTTAGATTAAAAAAGAAATTCTTATTTTGCTATTTGAAGCCATGATGAAACACAGTTGTACTAAAAAACCGATGATTGTGTTTCATCTTATAGTTATATTTGATTCTTGTGAGTTTGTGTTTATATGTGTGCCTGAATCGTTGGATAAATGAGCCATCCGTGTGCAACCTGATTGGGAAAAGCTGATCTTGTTAACATGTGCATATTATTGTGTGTGTGTGTGTGTGTGTGTGTGTGTGTGTGTGTGTGTGTGTGTGTGTGTGTGTGTACATGCCTTGAGATAGTCTCCATCTTGCAATGAGAAGCTCTCAGCTTTCAGCCCGATTCCTTTGCCCTTTTCAGTCGTGATGCGGTAAATGCACTCGTGGTTATTATCGTAGTTTGAGGGGAAGTTGGGAGAAAGGAGAATGCCTTCTGGCCCCAATGAGGAGGCGCCGCACTCAGCTACAGCAAGAGAAGAAAAGGGACAGGGACACTGTGGATCAAAATCACAGCAATTCTACCTAATTATTTTTGAGCAGTCACAATACCTGAGATGGTAAAAGGACACATAATTTTACATGAAAAAGAGAGATTAGAGGAAAAAAGCACATCCTTTACGACCACAAGCCTTGTTCAAATAAGCAGACATGATGATAATGACGACAATGAAGCATATACAGCAGCTTAAAAGAACTGAAATGTACGTTTGAAATGTACTTTAAACAAGACAATGGCAACAAACATAATGAGCAGCAAACACATTCAACATGAGAGGGTGAAATGAAAAACACTGCAGAGAAACAGGTCTGGATGATTTTGTTAGAAAATGTATTTCCTATAAATTATACAGAATTATCTGTCAGGTGCAGTGCCTATCAAAGTTTAGGAATTCAAATAAGTGGTACTTTGTGCAAATAGAGTTTTGTCGTATGTAAATGAGGAGAGGAGAAAAGAAGTGAGCCGAGCAGGCTTTTAACTCCCACTGAGGAGGACCACCACTGCTTGGGAAGGGATAAAGAGGAAATTGAAGTAATGAGATAGACAAGAGAGAAGGCGGTGTGGAACAATATGGAACTCACTCAGATAAAAAAAGATACAGTTTGTATCAAATCTGAACAAATCTGAAATGCAAAACAACATCTTTGTAAATGTTTTCTTTTAAAGCAGATTAGAAGCAGAATATAGGGTGCCTAAATTCAAGGATGCTGCCAGGAATGTGTGAGAAAAAAAGAGGGTAGTGAAGGGGAGAAGAATGGGGTGACAAGAGAAATTTTAAGAGAAGAGAAGATAGTCGATGGACCTAGTCAAGAACCCTTTGAAAATATGCAGTGAGAAATTAGTAAAGGGAAAATGGGATTAACAAAAGACACAGCATTAACGCTTTTCATAAAACATCTAATGGCCTAATTATCTACCCAAGGACTGAGGAAATGCTGAGGGAGAGGAGGAGAAACAGTCAGAAAGTTAGACAGAGAGACAGAGAAGTTAAGAGACGGACATTTAGAAAGACAGAGAGGGATGAACCCAGTGGACGTTGCCAGCTGCTGTTGCTCGGTTTCTTCTAAGTCAGGTCTGATCTCTTGACAGATAGTGCTATTATTGCAGTTTCAGTCTGCTCTTTTTGGGGGCTTGGAAATTACCAGCAGCCACCAGTCAGCCTCTCATAAATTACCAGCAGCATCCAGGGCAACACTGATACTCATCAAATACCAGCAAATTATGACCTGCTAAAAGCCAAATCCTGGCATATAAAACCAACACTCAACCAGTCAAATAATAGTAAATTACCATTGTGTCAGCAATAAAACATTGGTGAGTTACAACCATGAAAATGCTGATACTTCACCCTCAGGCTCATTCATGTGCTGAAGAAGTTAATTTGAAAGTTTTATTTTACAAGCTACCAGATATTGTCATAGAAGATAAACCACTGCAAACTATAAATAATGAAGGCAGAAATACTTTTGACACAGCAACATTACTTTGTGTATTGTTCTGTTGTATAAGGAAAGTTCAACGAGTTTAGAGTGTAATGTCCACACTCCTTCATCACCTTCATTTGTTTTGTATGCACTGCCAATTATTTCCCATTTTCTCTGAGACACAACTCAGTCAGTGAGTCTATGTGTACTTCAGTGTCTTACCTATACATCGTGGTAGTGTGTTGCTCCAGACTCGCCTGCCTCCTCCCAGACAAGTGATCTTGCTGTCTCCCTCAAGTCGGTAGCCATGGAAACAAGAGAAGGCCAGCGAGTCCCCAACTCGAAATCTGAATCCCGTCCTCCTGCTGTACGCCGGCACACCAGGGTCCTCGCAGGGCTCCAAGTCGTACTCTAAACATCCAGGAGAGTGAAATAACATTGTTGAGAATACATAATAAAAAGACTAAAGTCGTGTGCAATATACAGTAGGAACAACTTGTATGACACACACATATATATATATATAAAGTAAATAGAAAGAAGTGCATTGACGTACAACTAGTATTTTAAACCACATTAATATAGCAGCAGCAACATCTAACAATGACAGAGAAAATATCACAAACATATAAATTAGCTAATAGTAAATACATATATTAGTTAAACCAATGTTGCTTAAAGAGATAGTTCACCCAAAATTATCTCCTCACCACTAGCCTAAAGTCCACTGGAAGTGGCTAAGCTAGCGGACATTAGCACGTCCAACGGTCCATGAATGCACCACAAGGGAGCTATCAGAGGACATTTAGGCTAAAACTTGGTGTAAATGACGCTGTTTCGAGTCGAATATGAATGTTGGGGCTTGCAGCCACTTGGATGACACTACATGAGCAGTAGTGAGATATTATATAGGTTTTATTTTGTCTGCAGGACTCACCATTGACTTCAACTGTATTAGATTGTGCCACAACAAAGTTTAACCCTGAAACTCCAGAAGTGCTTTGAAATCAATCCCGTAGTTTAATATAATTAATCATAGATTTGTTAGTTAAACTATGGTATTAGTTCAAATACATATTGTATTTGTTGATGTGTTTTGCCTATGCAATTATGTATTATCAAAACACAGAGCCAAATAGCTCCACTGGGGACTGTCTCATTCCCTGCGTGGGAGACGATCCCGGAGGGTCCCATAGCTCAGGGAAGTTGCTGAGCTTACGGAGGTAGAGCAGCTTAACAGATGTACCAACCAACCAGTTCAACATCATCTTTTCTTCTTCCAAAACTTAAAAATACTGAATAATTGAACACACTTTTAATAAAGCGTAAACTGACCTTTGCATCATTTGTCAGACTTGGCTTTCAAGTGTGAAGTAGTAGTAATGAGTCCATTACAGCTCAGCAAACCACAATGAGACAAAGACGTGACACTATAAAGTGGACAGGGGTTGAGAGTCTCGAATGGGGCTAAGAGTAAAGCATCACCATTTTATTTTTTATGTAAGGTCTGTGACAATGATTATAAAGTTAATCAGCCTAAAAAGGCATAAAATTGGATTTAACGATGTCTATTTCTGTTTCAGTTTAGTGAAGAGCTTTCAAACTTCAAACGCCTTAACTCACTTTATGATATTAGCTCACATGAATGCATCTATGTAACAACTATTTCCCGTATTTTATGATATTAGCTCAAGTCTATCCTGAAAACAAAGTGAGAACGATTTATCGTTAATTACATCCATGTTGACAAAACACAACTGCTCTTACCTGAGAAGGTAATATTAAAGCCTTCATAGCTCATGGAAAAATCCGATATAAAACGTAGCTGAGCACTGAAGTTCCCATAGAGTCCTGCTCTGACACTAGGGGGCAGCACAGAGCCAGTGAGTCGAGCAACTGGGACCAAGAAATTGCTGTCCTCGGTGATGGACAGGTAGTCATGGTTCTCCTCCAGATGGAAAGTGTGGAAAACCAGATGGACTCCTGTAAATCCACGAATGAATGAATGGAAAGATGGACAATTGAATTGAGGGATGGGTAGAAAGATGGATGCACGAGTGGATGCACAGATACACAGCACAAGAAACAGAGTTACTTTAATAAACTTGTTTTTTAACATATGAAGGCAGAGTCTGTGTTTGTGTGCTCTTACCTTTCCCATGAGACACCTCTATAGTCCAGGTGCAGTTAAGTGAGTTAGGGTAAAAGTCAGGAAAGCCAGGAGACAGAATAGTCCCCGTTTTACCATAAACATAGCCTCCACAAAGAGCTACAGAAAAAAAGTGACAGATAGAGAAGGGTGGAAAGGGGGAAGGAGAATAAATTTCGGTTACACTATAGGCCTTTTTCACGGGGGACATCTTGTCACACTAGAAAAGGCCCAGGTGTTCCTGATAACATTAATGCTGGCTCTGTTCTATTCATAAGATGAAGTAATTCCATTTTTCACGCCTGTGATTCTCCAACTGTGACATGCCACAATGTGTTTGGTGAGAGAAGTCCTGTACAAATCTTTCATATTTAGCAAGAAACACAAAGATCTCAAAGAAATCCTGGATAATTCCTTTACTGAAATATACCCATGTCCTCAGTACAGTGGTCAACACTATTGACAGATTTGTTACATGTCCCCACTTGCTCCCACTATCCACAAATGCAACCAAAATATCTTTGATACCAACGCTGCCATCTTGTGCATTTGATGTCAGGGTCTGTGAATCGTCTGTGCATCTTCACCAACCATGAGACGAGTCTAAGCTGTCAATCATGACATATTGTCCCATTTATACAGCTTCAAATAACTAATTAAAACCCAACTTATCAGTACGGTTAGCACTTGTACACACATCAGTGTGATAAGAACTACGAAAAATGACAGAAATCCTCTTTGAGAAAAGTGCATTGAACATTAACTTAAACTTTTTCGTTTGGTCCATGTCGAAAGCACTAACATGGAGGAGGCGGGTTTTACGATCTATACAGCAAACAGCCAACAGATCAACTAATCTAGACTCTTTGGCTTCACTTTTGTGGAGCAGTTACTTGCCCATCTTTACAAAGAGTCTATGATATGAACTGGTTTGGTTGAAAGTGGGTGGAACTATGGTGGGACGTTATGATGTCACGAAACTTTAAGTACCAATAAGAATGAATAACAATGAGTCATTCTGCCCTAACAGGTGCTGCAAAATGAACAGGAGAGAACAACTCTCAGTCAAACCCAATCTGTCCCTGAAATAAAAAAACAGACGTCAGATGACATCCGTATGTGGGGAACAGCTGACCAGGATGTGAAAGATAGATACTCAATAACAAAACATGCAGTAAATGTTATTTAGATTCTTCCCTTCCAAGTAAAACATCAAATATGCAACTTTTGCATGAAGCTCAAGAGAGTAAGAAATAAAGGGTGAAGGCCAGAGCTGGAGTTAATGCAAAACAAATCAGGGGAGAGAAAAATGTAACAGAGGAAGGTTCTTTTTTTCCATTAGCTATAACACTTAATATTTTGAGGGTGTGTTTGTGTTTGTGTGTGTGTGTGTGTGTAGAGCTGCTTTTTCTCAAGCTACATCCACACCACTACATTTTTGTTTGAAAAGCTTTAACTCTGCTTCAGATACACCTTCCATCCACACTACTCTAAAGTGTGATGACGTAACCTTGGCTGAATCATCAGGCTCCTTCCCTTCCAGAAGAAAACAACCGGCATTGGTCACCATGTGTATAATACAAATACGTAACATCGCTGACCCTGTTGTCTTTCCCAACAACTGTTGTGTAGTTAAACTCAAATTTTTACAGTGATACAACTGTCTACACGTGGAGGAAACAAGCTTAAATTCCTGTTCATCGGGACTTGAGCAGGACATTCTTGCCTTCCTGTTAACACTGGCACACGCATGCCCAGTGAACGTGGGTGGTCACGTGATATGCTTTTTCAGGCGTGTTAGTATGTACACTTACTAAAAGTGATATGAAGCCAAAGCACTTGTGTGGACAAAGATTGTTTTTGTTTAAAAATGCCATGGATGTATGGACGTTATCACAATCTCTCTCTATATATATGTTTTCCTCCATCTCATTGTTTAGCATCATTGACATATTTCAGCTGGGCTTGAGTTGAGTAGCTTTGATGAGAGTTACTCTCTCTCTCTCATCGGGTAAAATTAGGACACAGTCTGACTAAATGACCCTGGTGGAGGGAGGCACATGCAGATGTCTGTGAATGAGTGTGTCTATTGTGGGTAAAAGTGCATTCTTCAGTGTATGAATGATGTGTAGGTGTGAAGACAGAGACAGATCAAAGCCTTCAGTGTTGAGAGCAGAAATATGAGCCTGAATGCTGAAAGAGAAAGGACTGTTCTTCAGGGAGTGGGGGGGGAGAAAGAGAAAGATATTAGACCAGATTTTAGCTACATTCGTCCTCCTTGTTCCTGCCTCCATGCTTTGTCTTTATCTTTAATTACCTGCCCCTTTAAAGATGTCATGGATTTTCTCACTAAGAGGGGATACTGTGACTTTGGTCACTTCTAGCAAGTTGTTGTCTTGGCACCGACTCCGAGCTTTAAAATGTCACGGCGCCCCTTCAATATTCTGCCTGACACATGAAAGAGCAGCCAGTGTTGTGTATTATCTGTTTAGTGGTTCAGCTGACCTGCAGGAATAAGATGAGTGGTTAGCTCCAACAGATGCTCTGGCATTATGGTGAATGGGAATGGTCTCTATATGCCTGCAGGGGGACCACACATCACTTTGTTTTCTTCTTTCAGATGCACAACTTTCAGAAAAGGATTTTGGGGGCAGTGTTATACAAAGTGTGTAGTGACAAAGGAAGATATTATCCTATTGAAATTGTTGACCGTGCATCTGAGATGATACCGTAAATAAAATAATTTTTGCCTGTGTTTTTGCACATTGCTTTAATTTTGGCTGTGGGAGTTTTTTTAACGATGATTTTGTTTTGTTTTTATAAACTGATGATAGACATCCTACACGTCATATTGTAGTGGTATCCGCCTACAGTACCAAAACCTGCAAATCAGGTGAACTTGATACGTGAAATTGTCACAAAAAAAAGTGCAAAGTAACAGAATTGGCAAAGGCATTGATGAATTAATTTAAAGTCAGTCTGACAAATTCCAGGCCTATGATCTGCTCTAAAAGCAAACCACGATATATATAATCTTCGTTGAGATATTCAAACTGTTTCAGCAAATAAAGTCTTGAAATGTGACAGCTGTCTGGTGAGATTGCATGCTTAGCTGATAATTGGAAATGCCGTTTGGCCGTTTTAAAACTGCTCATGTTGTATGAGTGATACAGTGAGATAGATTGCATCTGTATGAACTCACTCCCAAGTTGAGACATCCTGACTATGGCTTTCAAATTGGATTCTTTTCAATCGGCAGATCAAATCAGACGCTTGTGTGTTCATCTCCCACAATAGTGAGCTGAGCGAGGGCCTGAGAGTGGCCAGTGAGCATCTGTTTCAGTACAGCCTGTGACCCACATGATTTCACTGAGGCTGGGACTTCGATTCCAGCCATTGTAGTAGTGCTTAGTGTGGAGTGGAGGAATTGATTGTACCATTAACACTATGGCTGTCCGTTACACCATGATAAAAAAAAAAAAAAAGTCATTAGGGTTAATTAGTATCTTAGTATGGAAGAAAGAAGTTTGTGATGTTGTGGCTCATCTTGGCTAAAGGTTCATATGCTCAACACCTGGGCAAACAGCAAAATAGAAAGTGAAAATGATCTTTTACCACAGTATCAATGTCTATGTCTGTCAAATATGAAACAATGGTAAATATTTGAAACCGTTGCTGTTTCAAAGTAAAAGCACGCAAGCATTTCTGTTGACTGAATCTTGACTGAATTTCTTTTAACAATATTTTTATTCATATTCCAGGACAAGGTGATCCAGGACCTTTGTTAAGTACATTTGCCTATAGAGAAAATACAGTTAATTTACCAGAAACCCACATAGCAGCTGACACACTCCCTGTGTGAACAACAGACATGCATGAGACACAACAGATCAGCATCATCTGTGCGTCACGCACGGCACACACTTCCCTCAGTGGTCTGAGCTCATTTCATCCTTGGTTGTGCAAGTCTGCTGAAAGCTCTCGAATACAAACTAAACAAACAAAATGGAGCAGTATTACTGAAAATTGTTTGTGTGCTATACTCTCCTGGATGTATTGCTTGATAACCATACCAATGTAAAGGAGCCACCGTGGGCAGTGACAGTGACACTGTTTGAAACAGAAGTATCTATTTTAGGACGTAAAGGCAGCAAAAATGAGCCCTACTCCGACTGTCTGGTGCAAGAATTTCTTGTTAGCATGTGTGTGTGTGTGTGTGTGTGTGCGTGCACTGTGGGGTGTGGCTTTCAAGTACTTGCTCACATCAGGCATTGATGCTGCTGCAGTACTTAGCCCCCCCACAATGCAAATGTAACTGTGAAGTACTGTTGTCAGGTATATATGAGCACAATGCTGCTGCAGTACTGGTTGCTCCTTGCCAAATTCTGCCTATCTATTAAATTTATACCTGCCTGATGACTGGTTAATGTGCCTTTCAACTTCATCTGCCCTGTGTTATTTCTTTGGCTCACAAATCTTTAAAATAGTGTCACAATTAGCTAAGAGCTCAATGATATATTTCAGTCAGCAACTCAAAAAAACCAATATACCTCTATTAGAAGTTTTAAGTATTATTAAAACTGAAATTGATTTTCTAGCACTAGAGCATTTAGTATATTGAGAGATTTCCGAATGATTTGGTCATATCACATTTTCCATTCTGAAAGACAGGACTGGGGCAGTGGTGCAGTGGTTAGCATTATAGCCTCATTACAAGCTTGTTCAAACATCCCAAATGACATTTTTCCCTGTACCTGCACAGCTTTCCTTATTGATCCTGAGACCTGATCTGGAGGCATTGCTCTAGTAACTAGATTATCCATAGGTGAGGGTGAATAAATAACTTGAGACCTGACCAGGGTTCACTGACCTAAAGTCAGCTGACATTAGCTCCATCCCCTGTGACCCTGCATGGATGAAGAGCTACAATAAAGAAAACTGTAGAAAAGATGGATTCATGGTCTAATCAACTGCAATGACTGATCAGGGTTTCACAATTTTTCCATGGGTGGTTCATATTCTAAAATGCAGGAAAGGCTACAAATTAACAAAGCTGCTGCTACTTTTTCTAAGAAACAAAAAATGCAATCTTAAAATCTTACATCCAAGCCCTTTGTTATTCAGCCAATATAACATTTAGATCAAGATCATTTCATTGGCCAAGCATAAGACTTAGTATTTACAAATGTCCTGTAAATACTGCTTTTATTTTGAGCACCTCAAGAGGAGCAAGGGCGTAGTCACCTGAAGAAAAGGAACAAAGTGACCTGCTGGGTCAGATTGTACAGGAAGTATAATTCTATTATATTACATATATATATTACAGTTTTTCTATCAATCACTTATTCTCTGTTTAGAGAACTCAACACCATATTCTTGTGAGTTCCTCTCCGTCCTATAACTTTCAGTTCTTGCTCTTTAATTCTTTTTGGAATATGATGCTAAAGGCTTCAGTCCACGACAGGTCCTCATCAGGAGGGCAACAATGAGAGAATAGAAGATTCTCACCGTCACAACTGGGAAGAGCGTGACTCCACTGATGATTCTGCTCACAGACAATTGGCTCCTGATCACTCAGTGTGTATCCCTGGTCACATGTAAATGAGACGCGGGAGCCAATGGAAAAGCTGCTGCCATGGCGACGACCATTGACTGGGATACCAGGATCGAGACAAGAGTCTGACTCCATTTTCACACCTGAGAATCACATCACACAAGCACAAATACCTCACAGTCAAAGATGTGTGTGTGTCTGTGTGTGTAATTATACACTGAAATAAACACTCCTGCTTCTGAGCGTCTGCAAGAGATACAGTGTGTGCGTCCACTAAACATTTCTATCATCCAGTCAATCAGCCTTACTTTCATATCTGATGCTGAAGCCCGCTGCGGAGCGGCTGTTGTCCGTGGTGAACAACAAGAACAGGAAGTTGGACGTGGATATCAGGAAATGAGGTGCCTGGGTGCCGTGGTATTCACCAATCAGTGGGGAGGAGGCAGAGGGGCCATCCCTGATCTCCAGTGTATCATAGTTGACCTCAGTCTGAAACCTAGACACACACACAAACACATACACACACACACACAGACACACAAACATGCACAATAACCAGACATACAAATAGATTATATTCATATGACTGGTATGAATATTCAATGTGCAGACTAATAAAACTAACAGCAAACATATTTTTTATAATCAGCAGCAAATAAATAAAAACTTAAATCCAGCAGTGTTCATTTTGTTGAAGTAATTCATTGCAGGCACAATAACAGACTGGTGACCTTTCTAGGAATACACTTGGCAAAAAAAATAATGCATAACCATCTTGTGTAACTAATTAGCTAAACGACTGACTTGTTTTCTCCCTGTCTCACTTTTTTTTTCAGTGCTTGTACTTTGTCTTGGAGACTGACTGTGAAATTATGTGCAGTTGTGGCATCAGAGTTGGTACCTGGAGGCCTGTTTATCAATCTCTCCATCAAAATCATCAGATAGTGGCTGATTTAGACAGGGGGCATCACATGGGTGACATTAAATACCTGGTTCTTAAGAAAACCAACAGTTTTCTGACACACTGACACAAAATGGACAAGCATTTCATCTCAATGCTATATGAATAGCTACCTGAACAACAACAACAACAACCAGCCTGTGCACCACACATGACTGTGAAATTAACTCTGCATTTACATACAAAGAAGACAGATTTTATCTAAAGCAATGTCAGGCCACGCTGCATCTGCTCTTGGTTTATTTCCAGGAAAAATAGGCAAAAAAAAACAACATAAATCATTTACCTCAGCAGAAACTCACCAACCACATTTAAAATCTGACTAATTTATAATGTTTCTGAAAGACAAACTAAATGATGCACTATCTGACCTAGAAATGGGAAAGAAACTCATGACACTTCATGACTATATCATCCAACTCAAAACAATCTGAATGATTACCGTGAGAAAACTTTAAGAAACTAGACAAAATATCCGTCCATATTTACATAACCAAATTACTAACCTGTCAAAGTTGATCTTCACAGCGTGGTCTGTTTGTGCTTCAATCACCCACTGGCAATTTAGAGAGTCTTTATAAAAGGAAGGCCAACCAGGCGACAGCAGAACACCAGTTGGAGCTGTAAGATGGCCTCCACATGGGGCTACAGGGTGCACACACACACACACACACACACACACACACACACACACACACACACACACACACACACACACACACACACACACACCATTGCAGAGAAAGAAATTAATCATTTTTTCTTGTAACTGTGTTATGGTACGAACATGATGCTCATATTTCATTGAGCTAACAGATTCATCATCTTCTCAATTTATTTCAGCTGTCTAATCCTTTCTGGGTTTCGAGATTTCATGCATAAACATTTACCTTCCCAAAATGTGCCAGTCTGGTGCAACAGTAAACAGTTTTACGTTGCTCTTGTTAGAAAAAGGTGGAAAATAATTATAGCGAGATCATTTATAGAGGAAATCAAGTATATTTATGAGTCAAATGATGCCAAAAAGTGGCTCCTCATTTCCTCGTTTCCCCGAATCACAGAGGGCGGCAGACGCTGGCACATCTCGACATTAATTTACAGCGAACATTTAGAGCTCTAAAATCTCAATCATGGTACATTAAAATGCAAGAATTACTTGTAGTTGAGTTTGAATAACTTTAATCAGCTTAGGTTTTCTCCTTTTGTCTGTCTACTGATGAGTTGAAGTTAACATGCAGAGCAACAGCCTTTCAAAACTTTAGACCATGAGTTCATGATCCATATCTTAGATGTCTACAATATATAATTTGCAGTGGCTTATGTTCGGCACTCTTACCACTTCTTCTGTTCTCAAGTAGCTGATACCTTCGCCCTTTTGATTGCGCTCTTAACTGCAAACTTTGAGTAAAAAAAGGAACCCGACCTCTTCACACTGAAGCACTGTGCCGAAGTCATCCTGAAATAAAACATCATCATCCTTCCCTGTCCACTGGGAGGGATAATATTTTCTCATATACTCCGTATTTAATAAGGTGACAACTCTGTTTAGTTTGATCGTCTCCATCCCATTTATTAACAGGCAACGTTTGATAATGTCATTTAGACAATATAATCAAGATGGAGGACACACAAAAAAACATACACTCAAAGGCCAGTGGTTCCCATCCAAAAAGTGTTGCAATAATGGCACACTCACTGTCCTTCCATTATTACGCAGCTTATCTGCACACCATGGATACATCTCCGCATAATGAATGTGTCTCACTGAACGAGTTTCGGCAGAACTTGTGCCAGTCTCATTTAAGATTATTGTTGGGAGAGAAAGATGCATGCAAATATCCTGAATGAGTGTCGGGAGGCTGGAGGCTAAAGCAATTACAAGAGGAAATTTATACGATTTCTAAGGTGCGTAAGCGCACTTAAGCTGCACAGCAAGAGCCAAATGGTTGAATGTTTGTCACCTTACAGTCTGGCGAGTGAAACATTTTGAATGATTCTCCATTGCTCATACAGAGATTTAAACAGTTTGTGTGTGTGTGTGTTGTCCAGGTATAAGTCATGTTGCAGGAGCCTAAGTCTGTTCTCTACACAATCATATTGTTGGGACCTTTCCTCCTTATGTAGACAAAACAGGAGTAAGTCTCTAGGAAAATGAGTAAATGTAATGTCCTCTGAACGACTGTGCGTGCATGCATCTGTTCATATTCACCTTCACACCGAGGTACAGCCGCAGACCAAACGACATTTCCGTCCTGGATGATGCAAGTGACCTGATCTGATCCCTTGGAAAATGATAATAATATAATATGCAAAGATTAGTCACTTATATTACCCTGCATGCTTCTTCACACTTGGATCTGATTATTACCTGCGTCCTAATGAATCCTTGATCACAGCGAAACGCCACTGAGCTGCCGAGCTGGAATTGGTCACCATACCTTTGACCATTGACAGGAACGCCTGGGTCATGACATTCATTCTGACCAAATGCTACAGAAGGAGAACAATGAGAGAAAGGTGAAAATGGAAGCCAGATGACATGGGACCCAATAAAATATGAAACAAAGGCTAATTCCTGTACAAGTGAATGAGCACAGATGAAATTATGCCATATATATATATATACTGGATATCATAAGAGCATTTCAAAAGACATATTTACTAATTGGTACAATGTTCCCTGAGAAGTGGTTCTGCCCAAGAAAGGAAAAGAAAACACGAACACATCGCTGTATCACTGTCAGGGAATGTGACATCTCCACTGATTTGGAAATGTGGGAATGGAATTATCTTCATGTGGATTCAACCCTGTCATGTTTAGCTTATATTATCCCCATTCCAGAGATTAACCTGATACAAACCAAGGCACAAACCCAGTGATTGGACATGTCTTAGGTTGATTAGCTACGAATGGAGAGGAAATGAGAGCAGGGACGGAAAGAGAAGGATAGAGAAAAAAAATGAGAGTGAGGCAGATAAACATGTGAATATGCACATGTATTACCGGGCAGATAGTTTGAAATACATTTGCATACATGAGCATGTTCTCAAATATACACACGTATACTGAATTCAAGAGCTAAGGCATTCATCGAAAATAACCCTGCACACATTCAAAAACTCTGATATAATAAGAAGCGGTAGAAAATACCGGGAGGGATAAAATATATATACATATATATGAGAAAACACACAAAGTGACAAAGCACAAGATATTCAAATTATATGTGTAAACGCAGAACAGGGAGATGAGAGGCAAAAGTCAAGTAGACAAAGAAAAAGGGGAGATATGAGTTTTTAAATACTTGAGTGTTTCAGAGGAAGAAAAGTGCAGGACAAAGTAGTGTGTGAATAAAAAAGGGAAAGATGAAGGGACAGTTGGACTGGGAAAGAGAGGAAAGGTAAAAATATAACCTCCAACTAAGACAGCAATATATTGTTGATTTTATGTCAAAGAGTCAGTGTGTGACTGACATCAAGAACATATTTTAAAAGTATGTGGCATGTTATTCCTCGTGTACATTTTGTTCACATCGTTTCCTCCCATTGGGCAAAAAGCATTTTGGGGTAAACTTGCACCAACTGCTTTATGCTTTGAGCAGGTCAGCCATGCAATGTGCTGCGGCTGCACTGTGGCTATTGCAGCAACATCTCTGTCCATCAGGATGCATCAAGTGCTGGAGCAGAGTAATAACTGTACTGGTCAAATTTGCTGGTGGTGTGAAAGGAAAGGAAGAATTCATTTTTGCAAATCAGTTAGACCTAGCACATGCTATATCGCCGTTTCCTGTTTGGAGTCCTGAAAATAATATTAACTGCATATAACCTAATTTACATAGAACTATTAATAATGATAATATAACTACCGATAATAAACCCATATACCCCAAAGGATGGATTTACCTTGACTTTAAGTCATAAATTAATAACATGTATTACTGTCAGGTGTGTCAAAGTTCATATTTGAGTTTCTGATATTATTCATCTAAACAGATACTGCTATACCCACGGCCACATCCATTGATATTCATATATGCATTAAAATGTTAATAGACCAAATGACTGAAACAGCACAACGATGCCAGATCTTTCTTAAATCCCAGTGTAGTAGTTATGCGATCACACATCGAGAACAATATTATTACAGTTGAACATTTATCTTTCTTTAAGAATTATCAACAGGACGCTGTGTTTTTCTTACAGCTGGTGACAGTAAAGACACTGCATGATATAGCCAGGAAACAGGTGAGTATCATATAAATATTACATTTCTGTTTTTGCACATTACCTTTAGAAATATGTGTGACTGAAAAAGACTAATGGCATATTAATTTGTATTAGGAGTAGGTTGAAAATTTGTGTTGGGATCAGAGAGAGGACTTTTTTTTATTAAATAATCTGTGCAGCGGAGGTGGCACGAAAACATTTAGCATTTTCATTTGTCAAATTTCGCCTCTCAAAGAAGAGTTGGAGACAAGGTCATTTTGGAAGGTATCGTGTGAAATGGTGCAAAACCGTATGGAAATCAAAGAGAATTAATCAGAGGCAGTCATGCAGAACTAGTTCAGCTTAGAGCAGATAAATACACTGGCTGCAGCAGTCGGGTTTCAAAGCTGACAATGGGACAGGCTTAACGGCTGCAGGTAAAGCATGAATAAGACCTCAGGACAGATATGTCAGCAGTTTGCTGTATCAGTCATCAAGTGTAAACATAGTTTTCAATAATGTATGAAGAATAGACATTTAAACATTCGATTACATGCTGGGTTTCTCCACCTGGAATGTAATTCTCAGCTCGAAGCAACACATTATTACAGTGGTAATAACACAGGAAGTGCTTCCTGATGAAGAAAACCTTTTCAAGACATTCTGTGTACTGCTGTTAAATTGGACAAGTGACAAAAACCAGACTTTTCAGTTTTATCTTTGTATGATCACACTCCTTCAAACCACTGTGTCTTACAAGAGGTCCTTTCTGAAGAGTGATGCTCAAAAATCTGCCTGTCATGTTTACTGCTGTCATTTTTAGATTGCTGAACAATTTTTCTCTATCAAACCTCCATTGTAGCCGCTCTGGGAATATCTCAAATGTGATGAAAGGCTGATGTTTGACTGGATAACTGCAGGAATAAAGGAAAGTCACCAACCTGGCTAGGAAACACATATTGTTCAATGCTTTGTGGTGTTTAGAGTAACTCTAGTAAGTGGCTCATCTTTCTTTTGGTTTGTTTTAAATATATTGAAGAAGCATGAAACATTTTCTAAATGTCCCCTGGAAACACTTAGGTGTCATCAGTGTGTCTCTGTATTTGATAGTTTGTGTCGGTCATTGCTGCACATGTGTCTATTTGGTTGTGTACTTACAGCGCACGTGTAGTCCTGACTTTCCCCAGTAATAACAAGCACTTGGTAAAATGGTTCAAAAATAACATATTCAAACATAATTCTTACATATTTGACAACATGGTGGCCAAATGTATAACTAGGCTGGTTCTGGTAGCATCAGGAAAAAGGTTTGTACTGCAAAAGTAGTGGGGTGATGGTTTCCATGAGGGAAGCCGGGATGCTTGTACAGTTCACGCTGAGATGACATTACAGATTTATGACACTGAGATTTGTGTAATTCACTGATTGCATTCGGACAAATGTGTAAAACAATGAAACATACATCGATCTGCACTATGAGTGAGAATAAATCTTTTACAAACAAAAACTTTGGGTTTACACGTCAGAAAATCTAATGACACACACACACACACACACACACACACACACACAGAGTGAGATAGGTAAGCACATACTTGTGTAGCTGATATTGAAGCCTTTTCCCGTATTAGAGTGATCGGACTGAAATTCCAGTCTCATAATGTGTCCGTTGGAGGCGATTTGTGATGGAACATCTTTTCCTGAGAATGTTCCAAATGTTGTTGGCTCAGACAGACCTAAAATAGAACAGAGTTTAGACAATCTTTTAGAGACACTTTTTAATGGTGCTTATCTAATTTCATCTGCATAACATTAAGGCAAGGACAGGCTTGGAAAGTGAAGGACTCCTGTAAACACCCTTAGGGAATGAAATGTTATTAGGGCCAGAAAAGATTCCTAGAATTTACTTTGAGATAATTCAATAGTTCTTCTGCTTCACAGAAAAATGTAAGTAACGCTGCCCCATTTGTGCATGACCTACCTGTCTGTGAGTCATTTGGTATTTAAGAGAGGAACAAACGATATCATTCACTTCATTCAATATTCTAATCATGTTAGCAACATAATGGAAAGATAATCCATTTAATTTAGGAAAAGCTAACAGGTGATAGCATCAAAGAGTGGCTTCATATCAAATGTTTTCACTTCTAAGAGTGTTTCCTTTGCAGTGACAAACTATTAACTCTGTATGTTTTTAGTGCTTGTGGAGCCCAGTTTGAAGACTTCATTACACTTGAAAAGTTTGCATGACAGCTATTGTTCCTTTTGTTGAAAACGTGTCTCAAACGTATGTTTTTTCAGGCCACTCACGCTTAACCTGCTTCAAATGTGTTTTCATAGTTCTTGGCAAAACCACATTTTGAAAAATGCTGTTTCCTACCCATGTCATGGTGAACGTATGATCACAATCTGCATAGCAACTGATGATCCTATATACTGTATTATAGTAACACACTCATATTACACTAAGCAGTGCAAACATATGTGTATAAATTAGGCTGCACATTGATACAGGATTGGTTCACGAAGCAACTTGTTCATATCGGGTGAAACTACTCAACAATGACTTTTGATGATCCTGCTGATACTTGGCTCTAATATTATTTCTGACTGAACAGACAGAATATACAACCAGTGACCTGAACATACAGGCTCTTGTTCAGTAAAGCACTGGACCACCTTTAGCCCCAATAACAGCCTCCATGAGTCTTGGCAGTGATTCAGCGACCGACCTGCCAGAGTCTGGTATTAACTGAACCAGACAGACATCAGTGACTCACACAACAGAACAAAAGTGGATGCTCTTTTCCACAGATGCTGCACTTAGGTGATTCCCAAACAGACTGATATCAAGGGATTATGGTGTCCAGGTCATTAACGTTATTCTAGCTGAATGTGTCCTGAACCACGCATTCTGTCATCATTGCTGGGAGCATCGACCTCCTTTAAGTACCCATCATCTCCTGGGAGGAAACATGATCACAATGAATGGCTGAGCCTGGCTGCTATGTTAAGGTATGTTCTGGCATTATAGCACAATGCGCATTGTATACCGATTGAACGGCGCAGACATCATTAGACCTTCCCCATCGGCCTGTACAGCTGTAACTATGCATCACTTCATTTCTGCTTGAGACATTTGTGTCACAGCATAGGACCATTTACTGCGACAAATGGTTATACACTTTTGTTTGGCAGAATACACTCTGCTCTTGAGGGTACTCCCCAGTGATCCAGTCGGCAGTGACGCATTCAGTGGGGAGCAACAATAAAACCCTAAAGGGCTACACAGTACAGAACCCAGCAGGCCCATGTCAGCGAGATATGAATTATACATAATGCAGAGGGAAAGAAATGCCATCCCCTCATACAGTAATAAGACACTAGAGCAGGAGGAGGCTGAGGTCGTTGATGGAGAAATCCAGCACCAGTAACAGCAGTTTGTTGCAGGTAGAAACAAACACATTAACCTGCAGCAGCAGCAGCAGCAGCACTGATGATCAAGAGTAAGAGTGAGAGCTTATGGGATTATTAAGATCACTTTATTGTCTCGATTGAATGTGATTGGAAATTTGTTTTCTGTGTGATTGGCGATTATAAATGTCAACTGATGCTGATAAGCTATTGGCATGCACAACTGCGGTTCGCTGCCAGAACCAACACGAAGCTTGTTGGTGTTGATTGCCCTCTAGGAGTCCACCAGACTGATGTTGCATCAGGAAACTGTGATTCATCAGAAAACGCCTGCAGTTTTGCATGGGTAGGTGAAGCAGGCACACTGTGATTATTCATTATGTCCTCTTTACCACCTGACGCTTCCCGTGGTTATCCGCTGAGGGTCGTCTCTCGCCTAGTAAATGTTTGATGTGTTTATTTCTGCCCCTTTTGTGCTCTGTCATGTTCATTGATCGCCAACCACCAAAAATTCAAGCAACTCCTTCCACTCGCACCTCTGGCCCCTACAATCATGGCTCTTTCACAGTCTGACAACAATCTGTAATTCCAGTCCTTGGTAACTCATCCACATTCAGAGAAAATAGTGCTCTTGCACATTTGTCAAGAAAGACATGGATCAAGACTCACAACTTCTGTAGAGGGGAGAGCTGACTTTATCACGGACAGTTGGTTTATTCATTGTGTGATATTGTATTAAACCAACTGTTACTATGATTCATTTAAGGAAATTTCACATACAATGGGCATTTAGAATATCAGGTCAGATGATGATTACAGCGTTAATTGCTATGGATAGCTGGAGGTTTCGGGCCGCAACTGCATGACTCCATGGGGGATAGTTACTTTCTCAGGCATATAAGAAATCTTTCCTCTGCATATACCTCACAAGTTTGACTTGTATATAGATACCAAGATTTTTCATATCGACCCTCTAGTTTCAGAGATTCGCTGGCTTCATTTGAGGCATGTCATTTTCAAGCAGGGGCCTGAGAAAAGGCCAGGTTTTAATGGGTTCAGATTATAGCATTTCACATCCTTCCTGAGCTTAAAACCATCCGATGGTTTAAACACAGCAGAGAGCAATCGGCGTGATCCATTGCAGTGCGTTTTCATTACCATGTTAAGTACAGAAACTCTACTGAAAGTAATACTCAAAATCCTCGATGCAATGCAATGAAAAGCAGTGAGAGCTGAGAACCCTGAGAGGTACAGGGACAACTGCTCGAGTAATAAAAAAACACATATCTGAATTCTTCCCCAACACTCCCACAGAAAGTTTCCTTCTTATTTCCTCCTCGACTTGGAGTTTTGGATCCAACTCACTTATAGACGCAATGAAGCTACAGAGCGACTCAGTTGCAAAGTGCCAGCCTCTGTTCCTCACCTTCCTAAAACATCTTTCATGTATTCATTAAAGCATTGACAATGGAAAATGGAAGTGGGAAGAACAATGCAACAATAGCCAAAAGAACGACAGGATCTGATTGTTGTCTTATCTTAGAGAGGAGATTTAGAGAAAAGCCTTTTGTAACAGACTATCACTATGTCCTCTTATATTAGATGACAACAACAGCTTTCTGATTATGTTAACCATTGTGAATGTTAACCATTCAAAAGCATGTATTGAAGCTTTAATAGATTTTTTAGACTGGATTTCATTTTGCTGATTCCCAGCTCAGGAGATTTCGGGGGTTATTGATGCGGTCGCTCGGTTTACTTTTCCTTGTCATTTGTGTGTATGTCATTGTTCTATTATCCAGGAATACAAAAGATGTAGTCAAGGTCACATAAAAGCCTCGATTGAAAAGCCCTTAAATGTTCCTCTTAATGCATTGGGATGCAGATTTCCTCTCCTATTGGAATGAAGCATCTATTTTCTATTTATTTATTGTTTTAACAGAGACTGAGTGATCATCACATTGGCTGCATAAGAGAAAAAAAAAAATCAATTATCAATGTATACTATCAATGATGAACTGGAAACTCAAAAGAAGTCCCTCAATAATTCACATTTAAGTACTATTGCAATGAAGTGTGGTGTTTGTTTCAGACACAGTTTCTGATCCATCAGCCTGTTGAGAGTTTCAGTGCCTTTAAGTTCAAATTGATTCATACATATATTTTGTGTGATTATGAGAAGCACAGATTTAAATGAGGTACATTCATATAGTTCTGAACGCTGATGAGTAACCATGCTGCCACATTTGTGAAAACTGATCCTTGATCAGCTATTTATTTGAAAAACAACAAATATTCATGGTTGATCTGGCATCTGACCAATAAAATCACCTCTGTCATACTGACTGTCAATACTAAACACACTTGAGGCTCTCACTATTCATATGTAGTATTTGCATAATCAGTATCACACTCATGTACCTTTACAATAGAACATGTGTGTTACAGAAAATGTTTTTGCTCTTCCTTTCTGTGACAGCTGGACCAAGACTTTAAAGTAACAACTGCAATTTTAGTTTACTCACAGCTACAGTGCTGATTGCCCTGCAATTTTCAAAAGCTGCTAAACACACACACAAAGAAAACATTCCCGCAGAAGGACAGGTTTACAGCCAGTCAATTAAACACAAAGCCAATCAATAAGAGCAGTGATCTGACGGCCCTGAGCTGTTTGTGATGTGCCAAATCATACAAAAGCTGTAACAATAAAAACAAACATTACAATCATCCATCCATCCATTCATTGAAATGCTTTTTTGGTTCTGGTTTGGGCTATTTACTTGATTTTTGCCTGTAATCACTGCAAACATCAGAGATCAGAATGCCTGTCGGGTTCGGATCGAGTTCAGTAAGGTTTGTCCAGGTTTGGACAGGAAGTTGGTCCATCAATAGTTCAGCTGCAAACAATGTGATCCTCCATATGCTGAGGTCTAAACTTGTGCTTTCTTTATATTAAAGGGAGGCAATTAACTTAACAAAACTTTTAAAGATTTTATTACCTTCATCTTTGACCACCAACCAGTCGAACTGTGGCTCCAGGTCAAAGTCAGAGAAGAGGAGATGAATGCGGCTTCCCGGTTCGGAGATAATTAACCACACACAGTTCAGGTTGTTCCCATACTCCTCTGGGTAGTTTGGGGACAATATGGTCCCTGACGGAGCCGTGAAGTTGAAGAAACATGAGACTACAGAGAGGAAGGAACACAGGAAGAAAGGCAGGAAGGAAAAGCCTTCAGTTGATGGGTAATTGGGAAAGAATCTGGACAGAAAAGCAGAATGATGCGGCGCTATTAAAAATAAAATAAAAAAACTGCAAAAAAACATAGTGTACTTACAGACACAGCTGGGTTTATTCCCAGACCACTGGTTATTGTGCTGACATGTGATGGTCTTTTCTCCCACAAGTTCAAAGGCTGACTGGCAAAAGAAGGTCAAAACGTCACCGTGTTGAAAGCGATCACCGCTGCGCCGACCGAATCCAGGCACCCCGGGATCCCCGCAGCCTCCTCGTTCTATCTCTGTAACACACACACAACACAGAGAGCCTCGGTTTGATGCAGATAATTAATGTTGACATGGCACCTGGTGACACTCAGATAAGAGGTTGTCTGCTTTTGCTCTTGAGGTGGGTGAAAAGCTAATAACATGCATAAGATGATCTTAAGATAATCACTGCAACTAAACAACGCTGTATGTGGTGTTTATAGTAATGCAGATTGTCATGTCGCCAGTTTTGCATATGAATCCCAACACTCCTCTACAAAACGTGCCCACTCGAAAAATACCCCACGTAGAGACAATTATGGTTAATGCTGAGATTAATGTGGGTCTATTTCATTTAGTGTGTCTTTAAATAAGTCCACCTCCTGCAAACAGACCCCTCTGTCAGAACACAAGTAGGCTCAGGTCTCAGTGGACCGCACCGTCAGCTGGGGCCCAGGATCACCCAATGGAAGAAGAGAGGGGCCATAGTTAAAATTTATGTAATAGCTACTTTCTTTGATGGAGAGCTGGCAGCAGTTCTCATTACAGTGTCAGTCGCTTGACAAATGGCGAGAACTGTCAGGTCTTAAAAGGAAGACTCGCAGCAACTGTCGGGAGCAGTGAAAACGTGAACGTGGATACACTCTGTTATTTTACGCTGCTGGGTTAAGGAGTGAAAAGCCTTTGAGAAATTAATTTCAGTGTTTTCTCTCACAGCTAATTGCCATCAAGGTAATTGTGGTGCAATTCAGCTTTAATTGTGAAAGGCAAAACAATGAGAGGAGGCACACAGGTAGATGCAAACACGCACCCAATGATCCATGCATACTCTTGTTAGTTGAATCGGCAGGTGGTAAAAATCGAAGACAACAACTCTGGTTGTTGCGCTATACTGTGTATTATATTGACATTTTCAGATACATATATGTTGAGTCTGTCCTTTGTTTCTTTGTCTCTTTATGATTCGTCCTGTCAAATTGTCCCTGTTCCTCACTCTCACTCTGATCAATAGACTGCACATTCTAAAAATATCAATATACCATGACTCATCAGCATGAGTGTCCCATTAGCAGTTCTGCCAAACTGGCCTGCAATCATTCATTTTGTCACTTTTTCTGATCCTCTTCCATCTTTAATGGGAGTATACTGTTATCCACCGCTCTTCCCTCGTACCCCTCCTAAAATCTGACATTCTAGCAGACGTCTGTCATCTTGTAACACATGCTCCACCATGCTCCTGGATTCGCTGTGGGCAAATACATCTCAAGGTGAGCTGTGCAGTGTGTGTGTGCGGGAGTGCATGTGTTCCACACTTTTACTATCTGTTGGCATGTTAGTACACCCACAAGAACATAATACTCAATGAGTTGGTAGCCCCGCGTGTGTGTGTGTGTGGCCCACAGCTGATGAGTGTCGGGATGGATATCAGCGATCTTGAGTCCCTGGTAAGTCTGACATTATGGTAACTGCCTCTCTCACCCATTCTTTTGTTCTTACTCTTTCTTCTTTTCTATCATTAATTTCTGTCCTTTCTAAGTTTAAAGAGTTTAAGTTAAGATTTATTGTTCAACATTTTATGATTCTGTTTTGTTTCCTTTCCAAGAGTCACATAATGCACAAAGTAATCTATATAAAGTAGAATAGAAGATATTTTCTGTACTTTAAAAAAAAATTATGAAGAATTAATGATTCAAAAGTAAAAGAAAGACAGAATACAGTGACAGATACTTTCGGGACATTTTCAGTGTGTTTCAGCCCATTAACCAAAAAGTCTATAAACTTTGTATCACTGCCAACCATCAATCACACATAGTATTTTACAGTCATTATACTTTTCTGATATAGATGTTATTATCACATGGTTAAGAGCTGCAAAAAATGTAAGGAAACTTTTGTGTTGCTGCCTTTCTGAAATGTAGCAATCAGAGGTCAAACTAGTCTTTTCACAACATTTACATATTCTTATTGTTTGCATACTTAAGTAAACTTCTGCTACAACAAACATCAAGTAAACAAAATGATTTTAAACTGTAGAAATGTGAGGACGGTATGGAGATGCACATGTTTTATAAAGTGAAAAGTAGAAGAAAAAGAATTTTAAAGTCATTCGATGCTGATTTTCTCCCCTTTGATGAGGTATAAAATAAATCCATTATTTACATCATCATACTTTTCACAGCCAGTTGCAATCAGCCTGAAAACCTGGCAGCAGCCTTTCCCTGAAAGCTTCAATTATCATAATAAGCTGTGTGTGTATATAATAACTCTCTTTCTTTCTTTCTTTCTTTCTTTCTCTCTCTCATTCTGTCTCTCAAACATGCACAAACACACATACAGAAACACAAATGTGCGCAGTGATCAAGTGTATCATTATTGCATTTAAAAACAAGAGCTATGCATTTACACAAAACCACAAACGCAAATGCAGGGTTTTTCCTGCAGGGCTGAAAAGCTAACAGCCCTCAGGGGGTAACACTGATCAAAGTATGTGACGTGGTGATATTATACAATGTGACAGCATCACATATATACATGCACTGACGCACACACAAAACACACCACAGCCGGCTGAATAGTTTCCCTGGGGAAAAACTAACGACAAGATCATCCAGAGGTCATTATGGATTGTTTGTTTGCTTGTTTTTTTTCTGTCTTCGCCTTTAAATTTATAACATCAGATAACTGAGGTAGGCCAAGGTGTAAAGAGGAGAAGGACATTTATTCTTGTTTGGATAAATGTTAAGTAGGAAAAAAAAAACAAGGTTAGCTGTAAAATGAAGATCAGAACCACTTCAGCTTTACGGTGAGCCACAAAAATATAAAATGAGATTAAATGTCTCACACCACAGTTACACATAAATGTATGCAGTCTTGAGGAGTAACGAACGCCTCATTTCCTCAAAGTGTTGTTTCATGTCTGAAATTGGATTTTCAACGAACAGAAAAGCATTTCTTTGGGAAGTAGATAAAGACGCCACTGCAGCCATGAAGAAAGGTGAATTTGGTCATAATTCAGCCTGATTTTGTGAAAAAATACAGGAACAAAAACCTTTGCTTTAAGATTGGTGGTGTCAAAACATTTTTATGTTCATTATATTATTCACAATATATCTATTGATGAAGTATATGAATTTAACAATCAAATCTACCGCATTCATCAAATGTATTAAAGTAAGATAACATAAAATCCAAAAAGCCTCTTAGATTCTCTTCAAGAAATACAAGCAGTCCAGTCTATGTACACTTGTCCAACTTCTGAAGGAACAGATAACCTCAGGTTGACTCGCATATGAAGCTATGAGGAATTAAGGCGTAACCCTGGACAACACTGAATCGGACAAAGCTAACTCAGGAGCACAACTCCATCTTTCCCCTGCTCTCGCACTCCCACAGTTCCTTTGAGTCCATTTCTTCTCACTCAATTTGTCATTTGTCTCTCTGTAACATTCAATTTCTTTTGTCTCTCTTTTTCCATACCTACTTTTATTATCTTTCTCCCTCTACCTGTCTTAACCTTTGTCTCAAGTGAATTCCATTAAGTTCAGTACCAGTTCAACTTTATTTACAGAGCTGCATTGACAGGGTATGATGTAGTAAGTGACCAAATGTCTAACTATACTAATTGTTCAGAGGAATGAGTATATAGTTCGAGCATCAACACCTCTCCCTCTCACCTTCGTTTACTGTGACTGTCACCATCTTTATCTCTCTATCGGTGTCAGCTTTGGCGTAATATGAGAAATAACCAAGCAAAACGATCAACTGATTGACTCATAATTCATTTATTACCTTCTGGTAATGCACAACCGCACACACACTCACATGTATACACAAGGGCAGACAAAAACAGTTGTGTTTGCTGTTGAATCCCCACGTCAGCAACGCAATGACTTTCACACTCCATTATGTGAGTGTATACAGTATGTCTGTGTGTGTGTTTCTCTGTGTGTGTTTCTGAGACAGACAAAGACAAGTGTGACTGAGGAGTTGTACTGCAAGTTGTCGTGTTCGTAAAGGAAGCCATACCTTCATAGACCGCCTTAAACCCTGCTGAGCCGATGGTGTCGTCAGACTGCAGATGTAGCCACATCTGATTGGACAAGCTGACAATGAGGTCAGGAACACTGGAGCCGGTGAGTCTACACACACACACACACACACACACACACAAACGGTTACAAAGCATTATTACTCATTATTTACATACATGTATCTAGAAATACCATGTCAGTACTAATAGTTAAATGACACTATATTACTACTGATAATTTTACAACACTATATTACTGTGGATAACTAAATAACACTATATCAGTGTTGATGCTAATAACTGAATAACAATATCTTAATATCAATAATGAAATAACAATATATTAAAACTGATGATTACACAACACTATATAACTGTTGATAACTAATTAACAGGATATTAATAAAATAACATGATTCATAAATAATATTACTAATTACTAAATAATCCTGCTATTTAAAAATACCACTATTATTATTATCAATAACACTAAACTTACAATATTCAGCTTTCATTTTTGTTATAGCAGTTAATCCTGCAAGAGACTCAGACTTCCTCTGCAGTATAGGCGAGAACATGAGTCGTGCTTACACATAGAGAACCCTCCGAGTGTCTCCTATCTTCCCTCCATCTCCCACCGTCAGTGTATCATATCCTCTTTCTAGGTCAAACTCTTCAAATGACAGCTTTATCACCTAAAGAAAGAAAACATAACATGGCAGCAATCATAGAGTTATAAACTAAGACATGTAGAGAGATGAGGACACAGACAAAAGCAAAACAGAAAGATCACTGGGAGATTTATTATCAGTTCCTGCAGCGATGTACTCATGCTTTTCCTCCCTTAAAATTTCCAGGAATATAAACTATATTGATTATATCACTGGGGATATTTGAAAGCCTAGCACTGAAATTGGAAATTCTGTTTCACAAAGAGTGGCCTCTAGAGCAGTGAAAGTTCCTACATGATGTCAATAGCGATAAATTAACACATTCATTATAAAGCAGTGCTCTACAAACAATAAAACACACCCTTCTTGAAAGGACTGACAGCCTCCGCCAACCTCATGACCTCATGACTCCTGTAATTAACTCTGACTTTATGCCATGAAGTCAGAGTTAATTACAACACAGTGGAAACTCATTCTGGAGCAGAACATAGCTTCTATTATCCCAGTCAAAACAAGCCCCAAGTTTTATTCTTCCTTTGCAGAGCACGGCTCATCCTGATGAAGGGAACAAAGGTGCTGCACTAATACTCTGTCTGAACCTCATTCTTCCACTTCCAAATTCAGCCATACATTTCATTGGCTGTAAATGTATATTCTCATTAAACCGTAGAACAGACAGCATTGATTTTGGAAACGGATGAAACGGATGAAACCGAGAGCATCATCAAACACAGAAATTCTGGGCGTGATCCCAGATATGTCACATATAATACACCAACTGGGAAATCATTAAAGACAGTTGGAACACACATGGACCTATGAACGTGACAAGTCGTTAGCTGGCCAACAAAGTACAGCATCACAAGGAAATGTTCTGGCATCCATCAGTCAATACACAGACTCAACTTATGTGCTTTACTTGCAGATAATCTAATAGGGGAATCCTTACGCATGTCATAGAGGACATGTTTGGCTTTATCACACTTAATCACATTTTATAACACCTTGCAACTGGTTTGAAAAAGGGAAGTTAACCAGCAAATAAATGACAATGTCACAAACTTTCTTATTCTACGATTTCCTTCAAAAGAATATGATTTATGTAAGTAATCTGTTATTTAACATAATTGCCATCCATTGTACTGGATCATTCAATGTAAAAACAAAATGCTTGTGTAAAAAAGAAAAATATGGGTGATGGATGAGGTTGTGGTCATGTCCACTTGGGCTACGAAGCCCAAGTATCCTATCATACAAATACTAATAATGCCATTAGCATGAGAGAGACTACTTGCATTCTTGGCTGTGACCATCATCTCATTTAATTACAGCCGCTTTTCCAAAGGTATAACAATTAACTTGACAGTGACATATTGCTATTCCAAAATAATCCATCGTAAATGAAAGAAAGTAGAGAGAAAGAACGAAACTCTGAAACTGAAATCACTTTGCCTCGCTTCTCTTTGGCAGCATGCTCCTTTGTATTCACAGACACACAAATCACGAGCTGCGCAGACTGCCCAATGCAAACACACCCTTCTGTCGTTAAACGCCTTACTTAAAGTCACGTTCATGGCTGTAGCTCGAGCATACATTACAGGAATACAAATCTACTGCATGCACTGAAGTGCAGTTATTCTGGCTTTCCCTTATTTGCTGCTTGTCCATTCTTACTGGCAGTGGATGATAACCCTGACAGAATGGATGATGTTGGATTTCTGTTGCATTAAGGAAAACCTGTTAAAAAAACAGAGCTGATCTCGATCAGACATTAACATGTAATATTTTGGATGAGAATCAATCACATGGCAAATCACTATTGCAGGTGACAAGGAGTGTAAAAAACGGTTTAATCAAGCAAACATCATTTCTGCATAGGTCTGGTAACGTTTTGTCAAAAATAAAAATGCAAATGCTCAAATAATGTGAAACTCAAATTTAAAATGTGGCTCAGATTGATACTTAATTATCTTATCATACACTCAATGTTGCAGCCTCCGGCAATGTTTAGTCATTCCAAGATGGCTAAAAATAATGGGGGAAGAAAACAACGTGCTGAGGTATCCTCTCCTGGCTACCAACAAATCACAGGGAGCATTAATAAACCATTGTGCGTCTTTGGCTGATGTTTTTTCGTATTATCTCTTCCACTGTGTCTGACGGTTCAGGAGAACATGAGGATTTCTGTTGTTTTTAAAAGGATAAATCATCATCTGTTGAAATCTTTCGACATTTTTTTAACCATATTTGTAGAAACAGATTATTTAATCCATCTACAGTGGTGCTGCAGCTACAAAGGCAGCAAGAGACACAGAAATCATTTTGTGGTTGTCAAACATCAGTCAAAGTATTAGTTAAAAAACAAATGTAGGTCTGCTAATCCACCAACACATACGCTATGCAAATAAGTGTGATAAATTCAACGGTGTATCCTTTATTTACATATATATACACATACTTTTGCACATTACCAAATCTTTTCGTAAAAATAAAATAAACATGAAGCAGTGATTATTGCTGTGGAAACCGTCATATAATATCTGTCACTCACTGTGGCTTTGGAGCCACAATCTCCCTCTCATCAACATCAGTCAAACCCTTTTAATGAAAAGATTTATAACCAGTAAATCTGATAATCACTGTTTAGACTGCAGAGAAAGATGATCAGTGGAAATCGAAGGAATATGAAACGTACTGTATATAAAATATACTGTACACACTGTTTGTTTCTGAGAGGTGCAGGTTGTTGTTGTTACGACTGTACAGTGGCAGCAGCTAAAGAAAGGGAGCGAAGCAGAACAGAATCAGAAACAGTTTTCTGTGCACCCAAGAGTAATTGTCTGCTTGCGTGTGTGTGCGTGTGTGTGTGTGTGTGTACGTGAGTATGTGTGTGCTCATCTATAGGAGGAACTTTTCTCACAAATTTCTGCCTCAACTGAAGCGGGACGATAGGCATGCCTGTTTCACTGAATGTGTGAGTGCTGTTTGGCTGTGTGTCTAGACACTCCAGGCAGATTGCATAGTAGCGGCAGACTTAAAGGAAGGAACTGAAGCGTTATCACACTAAGGTCATTAGCAAGAAGCTCAGTGCTGTTCAATAGATCCAAATGAGCCCATTTAGAAAGACATTAAGAGCAGCCTGCAACCCCAAACTGCATTAGATTAGGTTCTTTATTTTTTTTTCAGCAAAGAGAGAAACAAAGATAGAAAGGATCCAACGACAGAAAGAGAAAAAGGATACAAAGTGTAATTTAGGCCTTTACAGATTATGAATTGAAACAAACAGTGTGATGGCACACACACAAATTCACTTTGATGACTGCAGTACTGTGTATTCTCTTGGTCAAGAACAGAAAGTTTAAGGGTGGATGCTCTGTGGCTGCTCTTCAAAGAGATAAGTGAAGCGTTATCACTTCGAGATCATTAATAAGCAGCAGAGCAGCTTGGAGCAGCGCAATAGGCCATTTAAACATTGTTAAGAGCACTGAGCATCCAAAGCTACAGTGAACTGTCTCTAGTTCGTTACACAGTAAAGTTGTAGCGCTGTGAATTTTAGGGTCTCCTCAGGGCACAGCCACAGCCAAGGAGTGAACTGATGATAATAATCTTTCTCTGATCCTAAATTCTTAGCAGATATCTGTTGGCCACTTAAGGCAAATGATCGAAGACATATTTTGGTTGTTATTGTCAGTCAACAAGAGCCTTATAAACACTGCAAGTACTGTACACTGAAAGAAACTCAGTCCGTCTACAGCTGAACAATAAAAGGTCACATGCCCACCCCCCCCATCGCCCCCGGAAAGAACTTGAAACTAAAAAACTGCTATGTGTCTGATGATCTTGCCCTTGCTTTTATGATTTTATGTCAGAATAGTGCAAGAGAACACACAGCTGTAATTGGGTGGAATAGTTCCTGAATTCCCTCTTTGAGATGAGGCTGCAGCCGTGCTGAGTCACTGGTGAGCAACAGTGGAGAAAAGTGATTAAATAAATAAAAATACGGAAACCATGATCTACCTTTATCAATCTTTACCCTATTACCTACCTACGGACTGATGTACCAACCAAACAACCCAAATACTAACTGACCAACCAACCCACCAACTAACTGACCAACTAACCAACCCACCAACCAACCAACCAACCAACCAACCAACTATATGACCAACTAACCTACCCACCAACTAACCCACCAACTAACTGACCAACCAACCAACCAACCCACCCACCAACTAACTGACCAACCAACCAACCCACCAACTAACTGAGCGACCAACCCACCAAGTAACTGACCAACCAACTAATTGACCAACCAACCTAGCATGTGACATATCAACCAACCAACTCAAATACTAATTGACCAACCAACCAATCCACCAACTAACTTACTTGCTGGTCTGCAGCCCTGTTACCCTAAAAAAAATTTGATTAGGGCCCTGTTAAAATGTCAACACTGCACACATCTAATGAACTATGTTCAGTCAGCCATTTCAAGTACAGACTAAGCTTAGGTGACCCCTGCCAAGGGTAGCACACATGGGTATAGGTTTCAATTCAATCTTGGGGCAGTATACCGCCAATATCCTTATTACTATCACAGCCAACAAAACTACAACAAACAGGCTATTTTCCAGACACCACAGTGATTTACAACCGAACGGTCAGTATTTTCACTTTAGATTTGCTTGACCCCTCATCTGACCCCCTGTAAATGTAGCAATTACTGCAAAACAATGTTTTCTTTAATAGACTTAAGGCATTTGTCCAGCACAGCTTTTGAAGACATGGCACAATGCCACGTTTGCACGATTTTACAACTGATTAGCAAATTCACAAATTGATTCACTTGAATAAAGAGCTCACAGTGATAGTGAACTGTAACTATGTGCACAGAAGGAATACAAATCATTCACCAACTGACACGAGAGGTAATGTGATTTAAACAATAACTACCCAGGAAATATATAAAAGTAATATAATGACACTGTCAGTAAAGTGCAAACCACTGATGATGACAAGCTTGA